ACGTTCCATACTTTCCTCACTAACCTGAATTTGTACAAAGATTGATGTACTCTGGATATATGGCCACTACACAACAGTTAACAAATGATAGGAACTTACACTATTTGAGTTAGCTTTGCAGTTCTGTATCAGAGTGGTTTTTGATGTTTCGGCATGTACTGATGAAGTCAGATACCTAAACTTTTGAAATAAATATATAGCTAAGGTAAGCAATCTATAGTCCTATACTAGTTTCACAAAAATGGCTGCTTTTTCCTAAGTACCTAAATATTTATTCTTAGAGTCATGTCTTGGATAGCCTGACATTGGGAAAGGATGAACTTTTGCCTAATGGTTGAAAACTTCCTATGCTTGGAAACTGCTCTTTGGTGTTGTAGATGTGTTAAAGTTTTTAAATTTCTAGTTTGCCATCCAGTAGAGATCCAGCTTCCTCGTAGTAATATAACCAGTGGCAGAAGTGAAACCAGAGTGATCAATAACTAGTAGTTGTGAAATGAGGCCTGTTTTCTGTCTACTTTATCAGATTGCTTTGGAGTTGAGAGATGACTTTGGAAACAGAGTTTTGGATTCTCTTACCTAAAGTCATGGAGGTTTTTAAGGAAGCTGTGTTTTAGGAAGATATGCTTGGTAACAGTATGGATGGTGGACTGGCATGGAGAGGGAGAAAGGGGCAGGACAAGGTTGCCAAGAGTCAGAACTAGAGTAGTTGGAGTGGAATTGTTACATAGAATCTTACAACAAAAAGTCAAAAGGAAAAGATGGGCATGTGTCCTGTGTAAGCTTTGCCTGGATGAAAAACCTTTATTTAATATTGTTAAGAAAATATCCCATGTCCTAAGGGAGGAAAAAAAAATTCTGAAAATACTTACCGCTGGGCTCCCCAACAGCCTCGGTATGTCGCTCTGCTGCTCATCAAAACAAGCAGGATGGGAGAAGTAATGTTTTGTTGTTTTCTGTGATTTTGAGAGGTGGCAGAATTCGTATATGCGCTGTAAGTGTAGGTATGAATTTATATCTTACTCTGATCTAGAAAGGATTAAGACAGAATGCTTTAGTTACATGTTAGAAGTTAGCAAGATGTTTGCATTAAAGATTGGGTGAAAAGGAAAGTAAGAATAGAGATCTAAAACAGCAAGAAATTAGGATCCAAGTTCTTACAGACACACAGTGATAATTGGATTATTGTCGAGAACTTGCTGGATATCCGGCCACTGGATTCACTCTCAGAATTTAGAGAGTGTCCTGAAGGTAAAGATAAATCATGTTCATGAGATGAAAATACACTGCTCTTTAGGAAAAGCATAAGTGTTCTTGATAGTAAAAACCTGAAACAAATTTTAATGAATCACAAATACTGTGGCTCTATAGCTAATGCAGTTTTTTCCTCCTTGTTTTTGTAATTGCAGAATTTTTATTTTTAAAAATTTTACTTATTTATTTTGAGAGAGAGGGCACGCTCACCATATGTTGGGGGAAAGGCTGAGAGAGGAGAGGGAGAATCCCAAAAAGCAGGCTCCATGCTGTTGGTACAGAACCCAGTGTGGGGCTTGATAACAGGAACTGTGAGATCATGACCTGAGCTAAAATCAGGAGTCTGATGCTTAACTGAGCCACGTAGGTGCCCCCTAGAATTTTATTTTTTAAATAGAATAATGTCTGAAGAATATTAAGTACTGGTAAAAATGTCTCTAGAAAGTGATGGACATGGGCTGATGTCTCATGTGTTCGAGAATGGAAGAGTTTGCATTCTTGGCATTAGTAGTAGTCCGGTGAATTGTTCCAGGAGAGTGTGTATTTTTGTTTTGTTAGAAACAGAACAGCAAATAAAAGATCCTTTAAATTGTTTTGTCACACTACTTGATTTCTAATTTTAAAATTGAATGGAAAACTTGAGTTTCTCCATTGACTGTACAGTCACAGCTAACATTTCTACTTGAGACATTTTGGACATTCAAAGCATATGGCAGCCTGGAATTCCAAGTGCAGCTACTTAAGCTAAGATTAAACCATTTTTATTAGAGGCACAGGTATCCTCCAACTTTCTTATTTGGTTGTGATTTATTTTTATCTTTTTATATGTGTTCTTGAATTACTGTATGTTCTATATGTATGTATACATGTAGAGATATATGTTAATATGTGTTCTTTCCTGAACTAGATAGGATAAATAAATGTGATTTTATTTTAGATGATGTTGTGCCTATCTTTTGAATAAAGTAAATAAAAAGTTATAATTTACGTCTGATCTCTTTCCCTTTCAAAATGTTAATGTGGAAACTAATATAGAAATCAACATTTTATTTTCAAATTAGGGTGAACAAACTTGGTATGAATTTAGAAATCTGACTATATCCTAATGTACTGGTGATATTGTTGAAGTAGACAGGACCTTTCCAAGCATTGTTTTTTTGTATGACAATGAAAACCTTAATAATTGAGGGAAAAAAATGGGAAAGAGAAGCGAGCCTTAACCTCACAGAGAATGGGTACTCATATTTTGTTGATGATCCAAACATCAGCTGATAATGGATTTAACTCTTCAAACAGGAATGAATGCAAGAAACCTATTACTTGCTCAAAACAAGAAAACAATACAATAGAAACTTATTACCTGAAGTTATGAAAACATGAATTCAGTTCAGACTTGACTTGAAATCTCTCCTTGCTTGCACCAGGTCTAGCTAAAATGGAACTTTATACTTGTTTTCATATCTGGCTTTACTCATGTTAAAATCTTTTTTAATTTTTTGTTTTATTTCTTTAGTTTACATCCAAGTTAGTTAGCATATTGTGCAATAATGATTCAGGAGATTCCAGTGATTCATCCCCTATGTATAACACTCAGTGCTCATCCCAACAAGTGCCCTCCCTAATGGCCTCTTACCGTTTAGCCCATCCCCCCACCCACAACCCCTCCAGCAACCCTCAGTTTGTCCTCTGTCTTTGAGAGTCTCTTATGTTTTGTCACCCTCCCCGTTTTTATATTATTTTTGCTTTCCTTCTAAAATCGTTTATAAAAAGTATTCATGATCCTTGGGTAGTCATGAAGGGTGCTAGTTTGCTTGGAGAAACTCATAGAAAACAAGAAAAATAGGAGAGAGTATTACCACTTTGGGATATGTGGTAAGTGTGCTGTTTTTCATATAATACCTAATTTATCTAAAATCAGAGCATGGTGTGAAGGAGAATTCTCAAATGGTTAGGCAGTTTTGAGGACTGTCAGTTTTGTGGAATCTGATAACACTTTGTTTATTGGCAAAACATGTACTAACCAAGAGATTATGAATGCACTTATTTGGTTAATTTTGTATATTTTAATCATAGGAGATACTACATAAATTTGAAAACTAAAACATTCATGTAAGATACTTAGTCTTGAGACAGTGCTTGGTGCTCCTGTGGACACCAGCTCTGTGAAGTCACATGGCTCTTGCATAGCTCTGCAGTTTAGGTCACAGGCATAGGAAGAAGGATCTGACATGAATTAATTGCTCTAACTGGTATTATATCTGACATATTTATTTAGTAAATATTACTATAAAACCTGAATTAAAATTGAGATGTTGTATAACTGGGCCAGGAGATATTGGCTAGATGATACACAGACCAATGGCTAACTTAGAAACCATTGCGGTGGGTGTCCTGGCATCCTTAGGTCTGTATTGGTATGAGAAGACAAACTATAGAACATGGTCCAGCACTCACAGGGTAAACCGAAACTCAGTGGGTAAGTATTATGTGTGTAATGGAACTTCCCTGCATAGGACTCTTGGCATTTGGCATGTTATTGCTAGGGTATTGTACTTCAGGTTTTTTTTGAACTTCAACTAAAAAAAAGTATTTAGAACTTGGAAAGAAAAGTTAGAGGTGTGTATGTGTATAGAACAAACACTTAATTTTTTAAGGAACAGAATTGGGAGAAATAATTGATCCAGATGTTATGTTCTTTCTTAGCCCTTTCCTCATTTTGTAGGTTATTTAATTTGTTGTTTTAAAGGTTTATGTATTTATTTTGTAGGTGTGCAAGCTCTTATAGGCAAGTGGAGGAGGGACAGAGAGAGTTGGAGAGAATCTTAGGCAGGCTCCTCCTGGCCAGCACAGAGCCTGATGGGGTTGGGGTGGCTCAAACCCATGAACTGTGAGATCATGACCTGAGCCGAAGTCTGACGTGTAAGGAAGCTCCATACTTAACTGACTGAGCTACCCAGGCACCCTTGACTTGTTAGTTTTTAAATAATAATGGGGTGACTTATTTTTGGAGCTCTTGCCCATTGACTTAGAATTATTTTAACAGAATAAAAAAACAACTGGTTTCATTGAAAAATACTTGCATTGCTTAAGCATTTCAAGCATGCCGCACTTTTTTTTTTTTTTAAACCAATTACTTTAAAATCCTACTGATTGTAAAACTCTGGAATTTCTCTTAAAATGGAAAAAACTTGTAGATTAGCATCACTGTTGAAGTGTGAACCTTACCACAAATGTGTAACAAGTTTAGTGTGAATATAGTGCCCCCCACTCCTCAGTTTGTGTTTGTTATTTGCCCTATAATATTTACGAATTTCATTCATTGTGAGTCAGCTACTAAGTTCTGTTTGTGGGAGTCTCTTGTATTGAGACTGGTGTTTCCGTAGTGTGTTTTAAACGCTGCTTTAGAAATAACTATATAACAGATTTTGGCTCTTTTTCAAGAAGTAAAGTTTTTTAGAAATTCACAATATTCTAGGTTTTGTTTTCTCTCCCAGTATATTTGATCTGGATTCTTCTAGCTTATTTAGATAATGTAGGTAGTGACAAAGTTCACATCTTTGGAGCAGGAAGAGAAAGTGGTCTTTTTAGCTCACTTGCTTTTGTTTGGTTACTTTTTGTTGTAAGGTGTTTTTGGAAAGGAGTCTTTTGGGGTGTGGCAGGGAAGTTTTACTAAAGCCTTTCTAGTCAGACCGATTTGTTTCAAATTGTAGACATTCTTTGGCAGTAATTATATCCAATTTTGTGTGTAGTCCAGTTACCGCGCAGGGCTCACAGCAGACACCGCCGCCGCAGAAGCACTATGGCATTACCTCCCCCATCAGCCTAGCAGCCCCCAAGGAGACCGACTGCCTGCTTACACAGAAACTCATTGAGACTCTGAAGCCCTTTGGGGTTTTTGAAGAGGAAGAGGAACTGCAGCGCAGGTGAACACACACACACATGCGCACGTGTGCGCACACTCATTTCTTTTCATTTATAAGTTTTTATTATCATAAACTAATTTTGAGGCACTATCTACTCAGAAAGTTAGAGTTATTCTCTGAAATATGTCTTTTTCAGCAGGGGCAATACTTAGAAAAAACTTCTCTTTCTACGTATAATTTATTCCTTTAACTTTGAATTTGGATGCTTTTGGTTATTACGGTAGGATTTGTCAGAAGGGCAGTGGCTGACTCAGCTGCCTTCCTGCACCTCGCTCGCTGCGCGGGCTTGCTCTCTGTGACCTGCAGGACCGGATACAGTTTGGGGGGCCGCCTGTTGAGCACCGATTTTTATTTTTATTTTTTTATTTAAATTTATTTATTTATTTTTTATATTTTTTATTTATTTCTAGGAGAGAGAGAGAGAGAGAGAGACAGCGTGAGCAGGGGAGGGTCAGAGAGAGAGGGAGTCACAGACTGAAACAGGCTCCAGGCTCTGAGCTGGCAGTCAGCACAGAGCCCGAAGCGGGGCTCGAACCCACGAACCGCAAGATCATGACCTAAGCGAAAGTCGGACGCTCAACCGACTAAGCCACCCAGGCGCCCCATGATTTTTATTTTAATTAGTAATGAAACAAGTCGGTACTTGATTGATTATTTGTTCTTCTCTACAGGATTTTAATCTTGGGAAAATTAAATAACCTGGTAAAAGAGTGGATACGAGAAATCAGTGAGAGCAAGGTAAGGTGACTTCCTTGTATGTGGAATAATTTGACAGCTGAACACAGCGGTGGCCTTCAGTAACGTGTTCTTCACAGAGTGGACGGAGTCTTCACTGCACCATTCATTTTACACCATTGATTTTATATTTTGTTTCTAGTTACTTTGAAAGCTGGGAAAACAACTGAATTCAGTGATTTATAAGTACTCTTTGGTTGCAGTATTTAAAACTGAAACTCAGTAATTCTTATGCTTCACAGAAATAGTAGATGTTTCCCTGAAGAGGTGCTTTAAAAATGTATGTTAAATATTTGAGAATCTTGTTAGCTTTTAAGCAGTCCTACAACAGTGAACGGTTTTTAGGTTTTCAGATAGTATACTCTCGAACTGAATGTTTATTTTTTTTTATGTTTATTTTTATTTTGGAGAGAGAGAGTTCACGAGCACATGGGGGGAGGGGCAGAGAGAGGGAGACACAGAATCTGAAACAGGCTCCAGGTTCTGAGCTATCAGCACAGAACCCGACGTGGGGCTGGAACTCCTGAACCGTGAGATAATGACCTGATTTGAAGTTGGACACTCAACCGACTGAGCCAGCCAGGCGCTCCTGTTTAGTTTTTTGTAACATTCTCTGAGTCCCTAAAACTTTATTATGAAAAATCATACATACAGTTGATGTATCCGTGATTGGGCTTCTGGTAAAGGAAATAAATATATTCTTAGAGTTATGTGTGGAATTCATTTGAAGCATTTTTTAAAGTTGCATGCACAGGGATGCCTGGCTGGCTTTTAGTTGGTTAAGTGTGTGACTCTTGATCTCGGGTTGTGAGTTTGAGCCCCCCATTGGGAGTAAATAAAGATTGTTTTAAAAAATTGCATAAATAGTGGTACTTTTCCCATGGCAGTACAAAATGCATATTTAATCTACAATATAGCTGAAAAATTGATGGAAAGAGAACCAAGGGTAAAGAAAACCTAAAAAGAAAAAATTTTTTTTTAACATTTATTTATTTTTGAGAGAGCAACAGAGTGCTTAGTGGGGGAGGTGCAGAGAGAGAGACAGAGACTCAGAATCTGAAGCAGACGCAAGGCTCGAACTCACAGAGCGTGCGATCATGACCTGAGCTGAAGTTGAATGCCTAATGGACTGAGCCACCCAAGCACTTCGAAAGTTTGGTTTTAGTCAAATTTATAATACTGTTTTCTTAAAACCACGTGTATACATTTCAAGTAACTGATTAAAACTTCAGTGCTGGGAGTATTGCAACTTTGGGATTCTGTGTAGTACCTGTTTCTTGTTGATAGAATTCCTGATACGAATGAGATTTTTTTTAATTAAAAATTTATTTCCCAAATATTTATTTTTGAGAGAGGGAGAGAGACTGCCTGAGCAGGGGAGGGACAGAGAAAGGGAGAGACACAGAATCTGAAGCAGGCTTCAGGCTCAGAGCTGTCAGCACAGAGCCCGATGAGGGGCTCAAACTCATGAATGGTGAGATGATGACCTGAGCTAAAGTCAGACACCTAAAGGACTGAGCCACCCAGGTGGCGCCCCACGAAAGGAAGTTCTTTTTGAGCTGAGCAGATGTCCAGATTTAAGTATTTTTTTACTCCTTTATCGAACATTGTGTTTCCTTAACCCTCTGTAGGAAGCAGCTATGTTTTAATGGCATTTTCTTACATGTTTAAAACTGTAGTCAAGTAGACAAAGCCAGAACTTAAGATTTTTAATGTGAAACATGTATACTGTCTCATTGATAGTTTTGCTTTAGGTGCTTAACTTCAGTGCCTCCTAGTAAATTTCTTTAACCAGTAATTCTTGATACAGTTCTTCCTGCTGGTTTTTCTGTGGGTAAGGAATTTTGTTTGGATTAATGAAATTAATGCTCATTTTATTCAAATTTATTGGCATCCTTTTCTTTATAGCCTAACTGTTAAGTATTAAGTTGGTTAGAGAATGGGACTGAGGTTAGGCTTCATAAATTTTGATCTTTTGTGTTTGGCTTTTGTAGAGAGAATTTCTTCCTTGGTTTTAAGACTTGATAAGGGATTTCTTGATGTTGACACTGTTGATATATTTGGATCAGATAGTTCTTTTTTAGGGTGCTATCCCTGGCCCTTCTTACTAGGTACACTTATGAGATTCCCCCCACCCCTGCCATCTCTCCAAATTATGACCCAGAATGTCTCCAGACATTGCTGTATGTTCCTTGAGGAGCAGAATCATCCCTGGTTGAGAACCAGTGATTTAATATATACTTCCAGTTCGTTTTTAGCATTTTGGGAGGGGGGGGAAATTACATAAAATGTAAATTTTATTTCAGTTGTCTGGCTTGTGGTCTACATCCTGAGACTTAAAAAAAAAAAAGATTTCCAACTTAAAATATTTTTCTGTGCCCTGAATTAAGGAATCTTTATTTCTGGGTTACAATTACTGAAATAGCTGTAAACCTGTTAATGTCTGAATGTGTACGAATACAGGAGCCACTAGCCACATGTGGCTATTTCAGTTTAAGTGAAGTAGAATGAAATACTCAGATCTCAGCGAAGCCAGCTGTGTTTTCAAGTGCTTAACAGTGAAGTGAAGCCATGGCCACTGTGTTGGACAGCTCTCTGGAGCTTGTGTTTTACTAGAGAAGTCTGTGTTCTCAGGTAGTTTCTTTCTAACTCCCTTTACAGTCCTATTTCAGCAGCATCTTACTGGATTAATTTAAATAACCAGGCCAACTTTGCACATGAAGTTTTTAAATTTCTAAATACAGAAAGACAGAAAATGTAATATTTTACATATAGATCATCTATTTTCTCTAAGTGATGATTAAATGTGCCCTTAAAAAACAAAGGAGTCCCTGAATCCTTACGATTGATTTTTTGGGTTTTTGGAGTATGAAGTAACATTTTCATTTATGTTATTTGGGGGAGGTGAGGAGGAGTGGTTTGTGGTTTGGTAGTGAACCAGACTTTACTGAGGAATTAGTGAAGTGAAACATTGACCTAGTACACATGAAAATTGTTTTTTGTTTGAAAACGTATCATCTTTACCTTCAGGGGCATTAAATATTCATCATAGTACTTTATAATACTACCAGGGTCAGGAAAATGATTTTTAAATGCTTCCCTTTCTCCTTTTTCTGGGTGTTTCTACCCTAAGAAACTATCAGTAAGTTTTTTGTTTAATCATCCCAACAAAGCCTTTTGGAAATCACAACTATCATGTAGCAGTATTGGCCTTAAAGTCACTTTTGATACGATGAAATTATGCCCTAATGTAGTATGGGGTATTCAGTATAATCACTGAATGTAATCTTTTTAGCAGTCAATTATGTATTTTTGTTATGTTATAGCATTCATGATATGTGCAGCATCTTGGTCATGAGTAAACATGAGTAAAATGGGCTTCTAACTCTGTTCTTAAGGAATTACACACACTCATGTACAACAGTCCTCTTTTATAGCAGTTTCCAGAAATGTGGCACAATTCTGAAATGGTATGGGTCGTTACAGAACTGTCATTAAAAGTTGGAAGTAGCTTGAATTTCAAAATTGGTTGATATAAGAGGAAGGACTGGTATTTTGTAGAGCTTTAGAGTTTGTTGACCTAACTCCATAAATTTGCACTGAATTCTTACTTGAAGGTTTGTTTTTGTTTTTGTTTTTTTAATATGTAGTGCTGTGTGAAGTAATTTGCTTGGTGCTCCACTGACAAAATACCCATTTTTTATTTCTTTAAACAGAATCTTCCACAATCTGTAATTGAAAATGTTGGAGGAAAAATTTTTACATTTGGATCTTACAGATTAGGAGTACATACAAAAGGTAAACATGTTTTTAGTTATCTTGAGGAGGAGGACTTTATTTTTTCCAGTTCTTAAACATCATAATGACACATTCATCTCAGTTTCATGTGTATCGTACAGCTTAGGTTTGTTTGGGAGATGAGTACTTCAAGGGGGCTAAAGTTGGTTAAGAAGATAAAAAAGATTACTTCTAAACCTGTACTGTCCAATAAAGTATTAAGTAAATTAAAAAACTCAGTTCTGTACAGCATAGGGACTAGACCAGTAGTATTGCATTGACATTGTCTAGTAGCAGTGATGACTAAGAGTGGTGAGCACAGCATAATGTATAATGTTGAGTCATTATGGTGTACACCTGAAACTACCATGAGATTGTATGTCACCTGTACTTCAATTAAAAAACAATTCAGTTCCTCAATAGAAGCAGCCATGTTTTAAATGTCGAACGGTGACTACTGTGTTGTAAAGTGCAATAGAGAACTTTTGTCATTGGAGAGTTCTTTTTTGGGCAGTACTATTGTCTGTATCATTTCCTCTATCTACCTGAAGAATGTTAAGTTGGGAAAATGAATTAAAGCTTTTAAAAAAAACCTGTGGATTTTCTTTTCCCCTTGCTTTTTTTTTTCTCTCCCCCATGCTGGTTTTTTTTAATAGTTGTAAAATACAGTTAAGCAAAAAACTAGCCAAAACAGTGTGTTTCTGCAGCCATTGATAATCACTGGCAATATTTTCTTACTTACACTTGTAGTTATTTCCTCTGTGCAAATAAATAGACCATGAAAATGTTGTCATGGCAGAGAACATTTATTGGGCTCCTTAATAATAAGCTCTTGGTCTTCATTATCTTATTTATTCCTCAGTATTCGTATTTCTCATGTAACAGATAGCAGTCTGAGACTTAAAGACGCAATAGGCTTGAACACTGTCTCCCAGCCATCTCTTGGCGGAACTAGGATTCTTCAACCATTAACCACACACTTCTGTGTTAAAAGTATCTGCCAGGATAGTGTTCTTTGTTCTGGCATCCTTCCTTCTCCCCATCTCCCACTGCTTTGTGCCAGTAGTAGTTAGTGCATTTGCTTTTGATGTGTCCTGTGCATTGTATGCTTCTGTCTTTTCATGTATATATGCTAAAATATATAGCTTTCAGAGTAATGCCTTAGCTGTGGAGTCTTCAAGGAAAATGACTATGTTGACCTGATTCCACATTGATCTCTCTCTCTTTACGATCCTAGTTATTGATGTAAGTCATTTCTTTTGTGTTCCCCCTGGCCTACTATCAGGCACTAAATTAGTAACAGATACTTTCCGTGGTCTGCCTCTTTGGTTTCTTGCCAGTGATCCATTTTGAAGTTTATTCTATAGGGGCCACATAGAGGCCTGTGTAAGTGCCAGTCCCAGGATGTGGAGAAGAAAACCACGTGTGTGTCTGTGTCTGTGCGCATATATTCTTGTTTGTTTGCTAATGAACATGGCTGTGACTAGCAGCATCAGGATTTTGGGTGTATTTTTGAATAGTTCCCTCTCTTTACCATAAAAGTCCTATCTGAGTTCCCATTCTTTGGCTCCTAGGTCACCTGGGCCACTATAAATAGAGGATGCTGTAGGAAAAAAGATTTCCCATCAATTAAGATCACGTATTTCCTATACTGACCAGTACTTTTTTTTAAGGGAAAGGGCATATTTTTAGAGGCTCACCAGTGTAATGTGAACAGATTCTCAACATCAAGTACTGCCATGATAAGATGCTAAATAATTTTCTTGTAATAGTAATTAGTGGTTGATGGGCTTAATGTTTTTTAGGTGCCGATATTGATGCGTTGTGTGTTGCGCCAAGACATGTTGATCGGAGTGACTTTTTCACCTCATTCTATGATAAGTTGAAATTACAGGAAGAAGTAAAAGATTTAAGAGTGCGTAAATCTTTGGGGTGAAAGGGGAGGAGTTACAAATATTAGTGAATTGAGTGAATTTAATGGTATAGCCATCGTTTATTGAGCTCTTGGAAGTTTGTCAGACCCTTTCAAGTGCTTAACATGTATGCTTGCATTTTACTCTTTACAACAAGCCTGGAATTGTAAATCTGATCCCATGTACAGAGTAGGAAGTAAGGCAGACAAACTAAATATTAGGTGATGTGGCCACGATTACATATTTGAGTCGCAGAAATCAAGGTTTTGAACCTAGGTTTGTCTGATTCAAGAGTCTAGTGTCTTACAGCTAGTTGCTGAGAACCTAGTCTGTGTCAGACATTTTGCTGAATTATGTTTAAACAATTTCAAATATTTCATTCACTTAAAAGTGCTAAAACTAGTATAGGTCTAATCTGTACTTGCAGAGACACTGAGTTTATTTAATTTTCTTACAGGCCGTTGAAGAGGCTTTTGTACCAGTTATCAAACTGTGTTTTGATGGGATAGAGGTAAGGTGTAATTCAAATAGACCCGTTCTTGCTCTGTGTAATTTTGATTGGGGTAGGCTAAAAGTTTATTTTAATTGGTGAGTTAGAGTGTTACTAAGTGGTTTTTTTTTTTTCTTAACAGAATTGACTCCCTGTTCTTTGTACTTTATCAGTTTTAGCCTTTTTAAAAAAATGCCTCATGAAATTCAGAGCTAAAATATAGACAGTAGTAATGCAGCATCGACTATGAAATGCTGCTACAAAACAGTTTACTTGGCAGGCTCTCCACATGCAGATTTTACAGACTTTAGTGTCTTTAAGGCAATAACACAATCTTTTTTCACAGAAGTTTGCCTTGACCTCCTTCAAATTAAATATTTAAGATGTTGAGAGAAAACTGTGACCTGATATTGTGTATGTGGAGATATTTTCTGGAAGGGGAGAATGAACTTAGGAGTTCAGATTCTTGATGATACTCATTTCTGTCTGCTGCTCTTCGCATTTGTAGAGCAGGGAGTCGGAACAAAGCTGATAAGATGGTGAAGGGACTTCAGTTATCTGTGCTCCTTCTGCCGCACGCAGTGGTGCTGAGGGGTCACTGATCGTAAGAGTGAAAACTGTAAAATTCTGAAAACTGGAAGAGTAATATTTATTGTTTACAAAAAAGGTGACTTCTATAATTGCTACATAAGATGCCTAGCTCCATTTTCCTTGAAAAGTAGATATAAAATAAGTAGGCATTAAGTGTTAGATTTATTAAAGGTCCTTAATAAGTTGACATAAAATGTTAAATTGAGTAAAAGTTTGTCAGGTTTGGGTAGATTTGCTGTCAATGTTGAAATAAATATAAAACAGACTGTAACGTATAGCAGTGCCCTGTTTTCCCCAAAAGAACATTACTAAAAGACAGGAAATTGACAGCATGTTTTTATAAGCATATGATCTTTATTTCTGTCTATATCGGAGAAGCTGTTGGACGTTGGAATCTGTTTTGTTGGAACATTTAATGCTATACCACAAGGAATTATTTATAGCTGTTTTTCTAGTCTATAGGTGCATGTTTAAATGATTTCTCACAATAAGCTCTTAAAAAATGCTACTTTTTAAATTGATCTTCTAAAAGGCAGCATCTGAAATTTTGAAACCATGAAATCATGCCTTCAGGAATATAAACCAAATCCATGCTAAGTTTCTTCGTGCTCTCACCTTTCTTTGAGAAAAAGGGAAAAAGTGTTGTCAGTTGGCGTTCTCTAAGCCTTCAGAATTAGCTAGTGTTTGTTTTTGTTTTGTTTTTATTTAGTCAAAACTAAGTTGGGGAAACTTAGTGTAACGTTACAGATATAGAAGTTCTTAAATATAAGGAGCCCCCTCACTGGCCGCTATATTTGGGCCAACTATAAGGATATTTATTGGCCTTGTATTTAGGCACTATATTGTTGAATATATAATGAATTCACAGTTTAACATCTGATTACAGTACCTATGGTACAAATTCATGTTGTTTGGGCTTTGGGAGGTGTTGTCATGTTTATAGTTGACGAAAAGATCCTGGCTTTAAATAGTATTAAGTGTTTTCTGTTTTAAAGAAATGCTTTAAAAATGGTTTGATGGATATGGAATATTGAGTTTTGTTTTTGTTTTAGATTGATATTTTGTTTGCAAGATTAGCACTGCAGACTATTCCAGAAGACTTGGACTTACGAGATGACAGTCTGCTAAAGAATTTAGATATAAGATGCATAAGAAGTCTTAACGGTATGTTAAAACCCAATTCTATTTGTATAGTAGCAGTTCTTGTCAAATATGAAATCGTTTTTAACTCAGATTTTATAATAGAGCTTTTTATAGCCAGGCTATTTACCCATAGTGAGTCAGGTAAAATACACATTACTTAATCGTTAGACTGCAGAGGAAATTTTTTTTATTCACTGGTATCTTGCACTGTTACTGGTTTTCTTTCTGGGGACATTTAAAGACTGGCGTTTGTACTCTGTTGTTAGTGGTGTAGGTCTCACTGTATAACCAAATTAGCCGTGATGATGATTTCCTTTGTCACCTTTTCAAATGTTGTGTTCCAAGGGGTTAATGTTGAACACTTTTGTCTTTACATTGCTTGTTGCCTTGCTCCCAAAGAATAATTCTTGGAAACTTAAGTGGATCAAACCCTTCTCAGCATATCTGGACTGGAAGAAGTTTTAATTATCTGATGAAAGTTTGAGACTAAGTAGATTATAGTTCAGATTGTTCGGTTTACAAGTGTTAGATTTTTTATTTGCTTTTTAAATCAATTAATGTTACTGATTCTATGAAATGTTTTTAAGTTTGACATCAGTCTTAGAAAGTAGAAAAGAAATACTGTCATTAAACTTTTGATGATTTAATGTTCTGTTTTTTCACTCCCTGTTAATCAGGTTGCAGGGTAACCGATGAAATTTTACATCTAGTACCAAACATTGACAACTTCAGGTTAACTCTGAGAGCTATCAAACTGTGGGCCAAACGTGAGTTCAGAATTTGTTGGCTAGCTTATTAAAAATGTTTAAACTTTTGTTCGACACTAACTTTTCTTTTTGCTTTTCCCCTATCAACAGGCCACAACATCTATTCCAATATATTAGGTTTCCTCGGTGGTGTTTCCTGGGCTATGCTAGTAGCAAGAACTTGCCAGCTTTATCCAAATGCAATAGCATCAACTCTTGTACATAAATTTTTCTTGGTATTTTCTAAATGGTATGTGTTTAGATTATATTAAAATAAAATTGATTGTAGACACTGAAGTTTAGTCTTATTTCTATGACATTCCTGCAGCTGGTTTCAGATTGAAATTTTAGTTCATGATGTAGCCATTTAGGTAGACTTGGGGAGGTCGTGTGTATAAAATGGCAAACCTAAATTCTATTTTCCCTAGCTTTCTTTCCCAGGAGAGTAAGGCAGATGCTTTTTGTGCCTCCTTGTCCTCTAAATAAACCCTGAAGTTTAGCTGTCATGTTTGCTAAAATCCAATGAATGGTATCCGTTTCAGGAATTTAGGATAAAACTTAAATATACCACTTCTTTTACTCTTTGGATTCTTCTAAATCTGTAGGTCATTAGTTTCTGGGATTGTTTTTTGTTTCAGCTGCCCGTTTATCTTTGCTAAAATGTTAAAAATGTAATTGTATGTAAAAACCTTTTAAGAATGTCTATAAATGTGTGAAAAATAGCATTTTGTCATCCCTTTGAGATTAGTCATTACCCCAGGAGAGTTTTTTTTTTTTTTAAAGCTTCCTCATTTCAGCACGTTCACATTTGTGAACCATTATGAACCATTATTTCTTTTAGGAAAGTAAGATAAAAAATTTATTGCGAATTCATATTAGTTTCTGGCCTAAAGATTAGGTTTCTTGATTTTTAATCAAATTGGTCTTAGATATTTGTCTTCCCACTGCATACCTACCAACCCCTGTACCTCCATTTGCAAAAATAATTCTTTTTAGTTACTTATTTTTATAAAAAATTGAGTCATTGGAAATATAATTTAGAACTGTCCCACACTTTTCGTCACACATTCTATTATTTACAAATTTGATAGCACTTAATCCCATACAATCAGTTTTGAGGAGATTGACTACAAGATGTCAGGATTTCTGTAATGCTACACGTACATAGCAAATAATATTTCTAAGAATCTGAGCTTGATATTAAGGGTGGCAGATGTTTTCCAGGTTTTAAACAAACTTCCATAAAGGACTGAGGTAGTAACTAACTCATAGAATGCGTCTTGAAAACAAAGTGTTCACGTCACAAGATTTCATTACACATACTCATGTTACAACCTTTAAGTCATGAGATAGAGAAAAATTTTCCTAACAGGTTTCTGTAATTATTCATATTCCTTTGCCTAAATGAGTGAAGTTTTTCATCCTCACTTGTCTTTGGACATAGCGAGCATAAAGAGAGAATTTTTATCTTTCAAGAGTGATTTATTCTGTTGAAGGTTAAGGCGAACACATCAGATGTCTTGGGATAGTACTTAAAAAAAAGAAAAAAATCAGTGCCTTATCAGTTCAATGAGAGAGAAGATGTTTTGACTTCAGCTTGAGAAAGCTACCAAATGGTTTAAGTTAATTTCATAGACGAAAAGTATTTCGAGTATTATTAACATCAACAGAAAGGAATAAAAGGTTATATATATCAAGAGGGCAAAATGAGCGAAGAAGGATCACATTCACAAATGCTGTATGTTTAACGAAATACGTTTAGATGGTGATATCCAATAGTCTTATCAAGTGCTACAATCTTTTTAAACAGGGAATGGCCAAATCCAGTGCTATTGAAACAGCCTGAAGAATGCAATCTTAATTTGCCTGTATGGGACCCAAGGGTTAGTGTATTATTTTTTCCCCTACAAATTCGCACTGTGCAATAACAAGTAAAAATCATCTGCATAATCTTCAGGGAGACTTCCCATCTTTTTACGTATGAGTGGACATGTCCGTATTACACTTTTTTTAGATAACATCGGCTATAATTGTCCTCTGATGTGAGAAGCATAATTATGTACCCTGTAAACTCCATTTAATTGTACATAGTTTATAATTTCAAGTTCACTAACATTTTAATTTATTCTATTAGAACTACCTTGTAAGTCAAAGTTGTGTGGGCATTTGTGCTTAAAAAAAAAATAAAAGATACTCAAAATCCCTGTATTTTTTTTATTTGATCTAAGTATTTTGTTAAAATTGGGTTGTGGTAGGAAAATGGTCTAATGTTTCCATGTGGCAGATAACTTTTAAGCAGTATCACTAATTATTATGATGTAATTGTAAAAATTGGTTGGGATATTTCAGATTACAAAAACCTGGGTGGGCTAAGAGAAGAGCTTCTATTCTGCTTTATGGGAAGTTAATGACCTTTATCGCTAAGTTTAAATGTTAAGAAGCAATTTTTTAATCGATAAAGGAACCCTAGGTTTCAGTAAGGCTTTAAGGTCTATAAAATCCCATTTTTCTACATTAATTTGCTATCTTATTACAATATTGAAAATAATGTCAGTTTTAAGTTCTGTTAATTATATCAAGCTATGTATTTTCAAGTTTTCCAAACCCCTAGGCGTTTAATTTTAGAAGGATGTGAGTTTACCATTTCCTTCGTGGAAATATGTCACCTATCGTTAGTATATAGACTGTTATTAAATCTTTTTATTTTTTACCTAAAATGATTCCAACATGGATAACCTAGTCTCAGCATGTGTTAATAAGTTTATACTTCCTTTAAGTTAATGGTACATTAAAAACTACGTTTCCATCTTGTTTAAAATTTGTTTTGCACAGAACATTGTTAATGACATTTCCTAAAAGTGTAATTATGTGTGCATCCCCATTTCTGTTGAAAAAAGAAAAACTAAACCTCAAATAGATGCCCAACTAGAACTTTTTTGCTCGACAGGCACACTATTTCTAGTAAGGTTGCCAGAACAGTCATGCCCGAATGATTGAAGCAAACCATTAGTTTAGACCAAATCTCTGATTCTATAAAGAATTTCTGTAAAAACAGTGTCTCCTTACATGGTTTTTCTTTCTCACCTCCAGCTATGAATGAAATAAAATTTAATCATTGGTTCAGTTTAACAAGGGGTAAAAAAGTCCAAGTATCTGTTGCATATGTACTTGAAGAAACTGATTGGCTGTTGTTGTATGTAGGTAAACCCCAGTGATAGGTACCATCTTATGCCTATAATTACACCAGCATACCCACAACAGAACTCCACGTACAATGTGTCCGTTTCAACACGGATGGTCATGGTTGAGGAGTTTAAACAAGGTAAGTGTTTATCCTTATGCTCTCCTTTATACACGAAGGATTTACATTCCATTGTAGACCCAGTAGTTGGCTATACAGTTGAAATTGAAGAAAGCATTCACTGAAGTGGGTTTTGGTGTTTATTGGTTGATTACAGTATATATTTGAGAAGTGACTTGAAAAACTCCATTTAATTCCTTTGAGGCAACTTAGCTTTGACTATATCCTGGAAGGTTAACCAGTTTAAAACAGTCTCCTTGGCTGCGCCTTTACAGGCTGCTTTAGTGCCATACTATTTCCGGGTACGATTTTAAGTGCTATTGGTTGGTCTCCACTGGGTGAGGACATGAGCGGTGCTTTTAGCAGGATTGGGGCCAAAGTGCCTATTTTGGAAGAACCTCTAAACTTTCAATCCCAGTAGTACTCTTAATTTCATTGCCAAAAAAGGTCTTTGAGGGAAGTAGCTGAAACCGGATTGTTTGATTTGTTTGATACTAGTCAAGGAAATGGAATTAGCTAGACCACTACCAACTTCAAACTCAGAAGTGTAAAATTCTTTAGTCTGAAGAGGCTCTTCATGGGAAGATGTTGCCTAGGAACATCAGGAAGCTTGTTTTTAGAAAGGCAAGAATCTGAGCTTATGGGAACATTTTCTTTCTCGGTTAACTACAGTGCTTCAGGTTTTGGAGAGAGTCATCCTATGAGCATGGCATTTAGAGTAACGGTAATTTACCAGACACATGGCCCTCAAAAAACCCTCCAGCTTTCTGAAAAGTGTGTGTGTATGTAAGAATCTCTGTGCTCTAAAGTTGATAGACTGAAATTGCTATTTGTTAAAATGATTTTAGGACTATAGTGAATGCATGTGGTATGTTTAAGATCTTTAAAATTCTAGATTGTTAGACCGCAGCATGCCAACATTTTAATATGTTTTTAATTTAGGTCTTGCTATCACAGATGAAATTTTGCTGAGTAAGGCAGAGTGGTCCAAACTTTTTGAAGCTCCAAACTTCTTTCAAAAGTACAAGTATGTATTTTAAGGCATGTCAGACATGTTGCTCTCTTAAGTAATGGTTTTAATGGTAGCATATGTGACCTCTCTTCTTGCTAGGCTAATTTAGTTTTAAGTTTTCCTGTAAACATCTTCCGTAGAATTTTCCTTCCTGTCACAAAGGGTGTGCTGATTTTAGTAAACCCCTTATGTTTTTTTTTGTTGAAGTGAAGTGTAGCCTCTATGGTTTGCTACCTACCTGGTGTAACCCAAACTCCTGCGTGTGTAGCAGCATCCGTTCTGTAGGCGCCTCAGTCATCACCTGAACCCTCAGTCTGTATGCTCTGGCAGAGGAGTGAGCAGTTAAAATCTGTAGTTACTGTTCTCTCTCAGGCAACGATTTTCAGCCAGTTTGGGAAACTTCCCATTGAGATCCTGTATAAGCATAGGCAGAGCTAATAAAATGTCAGCACACAGTCAGTAAAGGGTTTCCAGTAGGTAAAGCACATGATTGGCTTACCAGTTCCCCCTGATGTTAATAAAGTCCCTTCAGACATTTCTACAAATAGTTTTCTTGGGATCTAAGTGGGTGTAATATATTTTACTAATGGTTTTAATATAATGATTTAATACCGTAGTACAGGTTAAAAAGCCTGATTGTGTTGGTTTTGATGAAAATTGTAAGTTATAATAAATTTTACTTTAAAAAAAAACAACGGACTTGCACTTTTATTTGCCCTGAGCTGAAAACTTGCCAAAGTCCCACTTAAAATTTTTTTTTCTTTAATGCTTGAAACTTTCCTGACCATTTGATCTTGTGTTGGATTGTGTTTTGTAATAATCTAAGCAAGATTGCTTTATGCTATTTCCCCAATTAAAAACAAGAATGATGACCTTCATGATGTCTCTGTGTTTTGTTTCTGTATCTTTTGCATGAAAAAGCAGGATGGAGCCAGCTTCACTGTTGTGTTCTGGGAGCACTGCGTTGTCAGTAAAACATTTAAATAGCATAACATCGAATGCTCATGTTTATTATTCCCCGTGAGTTTGTGCTTTTCCATTCGGCAGATTCTTTTTGTTTTGTTTTTTTTTGTTTCTGTTTTTTTTTTTTAACCAATGTTGAGGAAGTACCTTTTGAACATTTAAACTAATAAACATGTATTCTGATACTTTAAAAACTACAACTTCAAAGTACTTAATTACTTGTATGAAGAATAAGGAAGAAACTGGTTTTGTAGGAAAGTATCAGCATCTCTTAATCCCTGAGAATGAAAGACACGATTAGCTTCATTTGTTTTTCCTATCTATCACTTTGTGGTGGAACTAAGAGGTGGGTAGAATGAGGTTTCTGAAATGGCTTCCTTCACTTGAAGAAAGATTAATTGTTGAAATTGTAACCTTGATGGTGTCATCTATTTCAGTAAATTTGCATTACTAGAGCTTTGAAGGTTTTTTTTTTAACCTTGCTTAATCCTTTTATCTTTTAAAAGTTTTAAACTATCCTTTAATTGACACCAAATGGTGCCTATAAGGTCTTCGATGGACTGATTAAAAGACTACAGGTTATTTACTGAATTCTTTTGAAACAAATCATTTTAGATGATCAAAAATGACTTTCAGCATGATTAGATAAGAAATAGCAACAGAAAGAGGAAATTATATCAGAAAAACTTAAGTTTTAGCTATGAGTCCTGGGAAAACAGATTTGAAAATGTGAGAGTAATGGGCTAGTTTCATCTATATTTTTAACTTCTCCAAAAATTTTCTTCTTTATAATATCTAGTGCTTACTATCATTAGAATGTAGAGGTAGTCACAGATTTGAATTTTTCCATTTGACATATCACATGTAACACCCCCCTAAGTGGGCTGTACCACTGAATTGAAATCCTTAGTTTTCTCTTGAGTCCAAGTTGGCTTAGTGTATCCTGAAACCAGTGCTGTTTGTTATGTATTGGATTTTAAGTTGTATTAGCCCTGCCTGCCCTTGGAAGGGTGGGAACCATGGGGGAAATTTCATTTGTCTTATAAAGCAGACAAGTCCTCTTCCAGATGATCTCAGTGTTCCTTGAGAAAAAGGGGTAACATTGTTCTGTTTTAAATAGCTAGAAGAAAATGTTTTTCACGTTTTTCCTTTAAGATAATTCAGGTTGACACATAGCAGTAAAGTAAATCATCATTGACATACGAAATGTGAACACTTTGAGGTGTTCCATTTCACTTGGACAAAAAGGAAGGAGAGGCCAACATGTTCTCTAGGGCGTGAGATGATAATTTCAAGGTATATGTGTGAATCGAGTAACTAGCCTTAAGATGTTCTAAAAACTTAAAATACAAACCTTGAAACTCTTGGTTCTGAGTTACTTAAAGATGGAGTTGTAAGCTTTCTCTAAGATAATTATGTTTTTTCAGTGCACGTATCTGAGCTGTGGTTTACCCAGCCGGGTACAATATTAATGTGATGAAATGGCCAGGAAACCTACTTACATACTGTGTTTTGAGGGTAAATAGTTATTAGGTAATAAAAGCAATTAAGTTCTTAGGAATTTCTAAATAGGTTTTAATTCATTCGGGATACATTTTTGTAGTGGAAAAAAAAGTTTTTTTTTTTTTACTAGGAACTGGAAATCTTTAAGTTTGGGGACAAGTTAGTGACTTCAGAAGGGTCTCCTGAAAGCATTTGAACATCTTAAGCAAATGATAGTAGCAGTTGGAAATAGGGGATCACATTCTTAGGACAGTAATAAAACAAATCTGTGTGCTCTAAATTTAGAAGTACCTCTTGGTTTCTCTGTTCTCTGATGCAGCTCTTAGGAATTGAAACCAGTTTTGTTTTTTAAAACTTTGCTAATAAACTCGTTGGGATTTTGGATTCTGTTTCTTAGCTGGATGAGTCTTTGTTTTATAAATGGATTCCTAATGGCAAGTTATTTCTGTTGAACGTAGTTATTGTATTTAATATCTCCTATTTCAAATTTCTTAACTGTGGCTGAGTAAAGGATGTAACAAGAGTAGATTACCACGCTCTCCGGCCCCTTCCCCGCTCTCTGGGCCCCCAACCCCCCACCCCCGCATTGCAGTAAGAACCAGTTTGAAGTCTAAACTTGAAACTTTAAACTTTGGATTGCCAACAAAATTATGTTCCAGTGGATTGTATGTTTTGCCTCTGTAAATAGAGAACATTCATTGTACCTCACTTGTTGAAGGAGATGGTTAAGAACATCCATTTGAATAGTGTGGTAAGAGAGTAGTTTAGAGACTGAGAGTTTTGCCCCCTATACAAGGTGAATGCAGACAACCTTGCTGTTTTTGTTTTGTGTATGTGCCTGCTTTTTATAGTTTGTTGTCTCCTGTTGTAAGTGGTTAGACTTTTGTCAGAGAGCTCTTCCTCCATCTTCCCTTATCTTTTCTTTTTTTCCAATCTGTCGCCCGTTTTATGTGACTTTTATTAACTTGTATTTATTTAGGCCTTCTGTGTGTGTTCTATTTGATTTGATCCAAGTAATGTGGAACAAGTTAAACTGGTGGTAAAGAAAGTACTGGTCTGTATGGTTTGAACTCTGTATTCATGTACCTGCTTCGTGTTTTCACATTTATATACATCACCTGTGCTGCCTTAAGTTTATAAGTACTTGAAGTGAACCCGTTTGAATCTCACAGCTCCCTGCCAATAGGAGACATTATTTTTTAGATGACACCCAAGTCTCACACCTGGGTTACATAGCAATGAAGAATCACTAGTTTTTAAATGCTTAGTGAGCGTAAATAATAAGTCATCAAATGGAATATTTTAGGGAAGAATGGTTAAAAAATGTTTTTTAACTTGCCAGATTTTCTCTGTCCCCTGCATGAATGTTTTTTCCCCCTGCATAAATGTTTTTTCTCTCTCTCCCTTGCTCTTTTTGTTTTTGTTTTTGGGATGGCTAATTTGAGCTGGGGTTAGTAGTTTTTTCCTGGCCTAGGTCAGGTGTTTTGCTTTTGATCCAGAAACCCCATTTATAAGATGTGAACGATAAGGGTTTCAGCCTTTTAAAAGAGTAAGCTAATTTAAAAGTGTTCATCATACCCTGGCTTTCCAAACTAGTATCTATACTCGGTAATGGTGTGAGTTTGCTTTTTGTGAGGTAGTTTCTGGTGAGAAGTTTGGCTTTCAGCACTTCTAAGATGGGTTCTATAGAAGAGTACATTGGACGAAACTTTTTTAATATTATAAAATTATATGAATTATACTTTAGTTGTAAATAGTTTGATTTAAAAAGAATAAAAGTAGGTATTTAGTTATGGTATTTTGTGAAATGAAAACTTGCCTTTTCCCTAATAGAATTGGATTCCACATAGAAATCGGATTTCTGTGTTGCTCTCACATTAGTGAAGTCTGCTTTTTTATAGAAGTTTACACTCTTCCTTGAAAAAAATGAGGCCTATTGTTAGTATTCCATTTAATTTTTGCTACCTTTTAATTTGATTTAATAAGCATGGTGTGTTTGAACTATTTTGAACTTACTGACCTAATATGTATATTTAGTGGTCCTGTTTTTGTGTCCAGAGCCTTGGTGCATTACTTCAGTTACAATTTTGTTTTAATGTATTTTAGTGAGCATCTTCTAGATAGAAAGCACTCCATTGGAGTCTTTGAACCCAAAACCATCAGTTACTATTTATTCATTGTTCTTGAATTAGCTACTTTGGGGTAATTATTTATAAAACCACTCTTTTTCAGAAGAATTAAACTCACCAACAGTTAGAAACTTGTGGAAATTAGTTTTTATGATTTTATGTACATATTGAGCTTGCAATTCCCCCGTGCTAAATTGATGCTGATCTGTAACTGTCACAAAGCTATTGCATTATGGTATTAATATCCAGCACAAAGCAGTTAAATAAAATAAATAGCATGTTGTCTTTATCTCCAAAGGCATTATATTGTACTTCTAGCAAGTGCACCAACAGAAAAACAGCGCCTAGAATGGTGAGTATAAGATTAGACTTTACAGAAAACATAAGCAAAAATCAGATAGCTACAGAACACAGGAGGAGGTGGGAGAAAGTTGTCTCCCATCCAGTTTGGTTTTATTCATAAGTGTAGATTTACTACTTGAGACGGAAGTAGAGGGATTTGAGGATCCATAACACCATTTCCTTTTTTACTTCCCTTATGGATATCCACGTGTCATTAACTGTATATTTAAAGTGCTTTGCTCTCGCTTCCTGATTTTTAGCCTTCAAATATTTGTGGGGATGTCTTTTATAACCTTAGTTTGAAATGTGGCTTGGTTCTCTCTCCTCAGTTTTTGCGTCAGCATTTTTGTTGAGAGCATAAGACTCGTTTTATCTGTGGACGTTCAGATGGGTGATCTGCTCTCACCTGTGTTGAAGCGTATTTTACTGCTTTGCATAAACATACTTGACTGTGCATATTATTTTATGTTTTAAATTAAACAATTTTCATTAACACTAAGTGACATTTGTTCAGGGTGGGCTTGGTGGAATCAAAAATCCGAATCCTGGTTGGAAGTTTGGAGAAGAATGAATTTATTACACTGGCTCATGTGAATCCCCAGTCATTTCCAGCACCCAAAGAAAATCCTGACAAGTAAGCAGTCTTTTAATTTAATCTAGTTTCCTCTCCCTTTCAGCTTTTACTCATAGAAGCTTTTTAAAGTCCATTTTTAATTACTAGAGTCACTATTCTGTTGATCAGGTATGGCACAAAACCAATTTGAGATTTATAGTTTAGGATTTCTGGATCAGAAACTTTGAAGAGAAAAACTGTTTCTTAAGAAAAATCAACATGGAAATAAATAGTTTTCCCTGATAATAGTCTAATGATGAGGCACCTATTAACTAATTAGAGTTCAAATTCTACAGATCTGCCCTTGAGCATTCATTCCATCCCCCCCCCCCCCCCCCTTACTGTACGGTGGTTGTTAGAATAGCGGCTATACCAACTATGTCTTGCTGTTTGTATTAATTTTTTAAGAAAGAACATACTTTCATTTGACCTTACAAAAATCTGATTTGTGATGGATTCTGGAACATTGAGACGATCTTTTAATAAAAGGCTCATGTTTTTCTTCTACAGGTCTTTGATAGGTCAGTTTCTGATTCCATTGTTGTTGTATTATTACTTATATGAGATTCTACTTTGCTTTATACTTTGTTGCCTTTGGAAAGGGAAGGGAGTTTGAGTAATGAGCTTTAAAAAAAATTAGTGTTCAAGAAAGATTGAAAAATAGTAATTGATCATTTGAGATTGTGCTGCAGTGCTGTAGTTGTTATTCTGATTTGTTTATACAGATTATTTCCTGTTGCACTCCTGTAAAGGAGTTGTATTTGAGCTTTTTATAATCTTTTGTTGCTGTAAGCTAACTTACCAAAAAAGACTGATATTTTCAGTAGATTATTCCGTGTTCAAAAGTAGCTGAGTCACCCATTGTGCCTGTTAGGCTGCAGTCACACTATTGTCCATGCCACCCTTTTTGATTGAGTTTGAACATTTTAAGGAATATGTATTAAGTTCTAGCTAAATTTTTATATCTAGAATAACCTTTCTTGTTTCAGATTTTTCTAAAATGCATTATTTCTTTTCCCTCTTTAGTTTGAACACAGTTTTTGTTGTGCCTTTGGTACTTTTGGGTCATCATTAACATTGGCCATCAGCACCCTGTTTATATAGTAATAGGGACAGGAAGGACAGGCATGGGGGAGGACTTGGAGTAGTGATGGGGTTTGGGTTTAGAACTTGACTTAGTTGGCTTATACATTTATGTCTCAAGTTTTCCCACATACCTCAGGTTGTCAACCACACTGATAACATTTTCATGAAATAAACTAGTAACACTTTTCTTACTTTGCAGGGAAGAATTTCGCACGATGTGGGTGATTGGGTTAGTGTTTAAAAAAACAGAAAACTCTGAAAATCTCAGTGTTGACCTCACCTATGATATTCAGTCTTTCACAGATACAGGTATATCTCTACTTGGATGATCAAAACCCATAACTTGCATAATTGAATTTGTCTTCATGTGTACCATAGTGATATTTGCAGTGACTGTCAATTTACTTAGGAATATGGAACAATGATTATCAAAATAATCTTAATGTTTTTGGATTAGGTATTTGTTTCAGTAATGTCTAATATAGAAATGATTTTTTTTCTATTGTAGATTTAAAGTTAAGTAGGACCATTTAAAATTTGTTCACAATTATTTATGAAATTGGAAGCCACTTGAGTATTGATTTTGTGAAAGACTGAGCCTGTGTCTGACTGCCTCTGTGATCTTGAACTTTGACATTCAGAAAGCTAGACATCTGGTGACTTGAGGAAATTTCATTATCTGTGTTAAATATAGACTCAAGTGTTGATTCATGGGTAGAGAATAGGGTGATTGGAGCTACATTTCACATTGACCTATACTCTGAGATAGAAGGTAGTCCAGTTTAACTAAAGTGCAGATGGTGCGTGTAGTTCACAGAACATAAGGCTGCGTGCATGTGTGTGTGTATATATATGCACAACACTCCATGGGGATCGTGGGTACACATAGACAGTGATGAATAGGGACTCTTTTCTTTCAAACATCTCTCTCCTTTCCTCCCCATTAGGAAAAAAAAAAATGAGTGTGTGTCATTTTCACCTGTCCCCAGTAAGGAGTTTTCCCCTAAGAACATTCAGATTTAACATTAAACATTTTGTACCTCCTTACAGGAGAGACAAAAATTGGTCCAGTTTGTTAAAAAGTCAGTATCATACACTAAGTGCAAAGAAGTGAAAGGAAAAGAATATGTCTTTCAGTATGTAAGTGCTCAGGTACGATGACTAGAAGGCACACTGAAGTACTCAGGTAATGGCACATTTCTGTAGAATCGCCAGCAGTGTGACCTCTGAATTTCTGCTGGTGCAGGTGCTCTTGGTTGTGACTCGACACCGCCCCCAGCAGCAGCATTGCCATTGGTGACACAGTAGCAGTTAAAGTTCCCAATAAGTCAAAAGGTGAACTCTACATTGTACACATGGTAGTTGCCTTCTTGGAAAGTTCAGATTAAAAATACTCTGTGTTTCTTATGTAAAATTGAGTTGGTTTCTTGGTTCAAATACTTGATAAGTAGGTTCTTCATTTTTAGGGATGTAAGTAGGATATGGCACCATTCTTTATTGTGAGCAACGTGGAAGGGTATTTAGTGTCCCTAGCAAGTAGTAACCCTTAATTGCTGTGACAACGAAAACATTCCTTCACATTTTTTTAGGATGTGCTTTGGAGGGTGATAACTTCACTGGCTGAACACCACAGAATGTTTTTTTCCGAAGTAAAAATTCTGATGTCAACTTAAACTATTTATAGACTAACAAATCATGTAGAGATACTTGAATTAGAAAATTGGTTTTGTGCATTTTATCTAAGGTTAGGTGTTTATCAAAGATTGTGCTAATGAACCATCAAGATTTTCCAGGAACTTTTAGTTACTTTGGGAAGGAAATGTTTCGTTGTCCTGTATCCTGAAACATTTTAATGGAATACTTGGGGAGATTTTCTAAGAAAACAAGTTTAATATGTTGAATACTCAGTTCTTAACTTCCAGTCTCTTCTACTTTCTCCACATTTTTTAAATCTCAGGTATTGGCAAGGATATCCCTGTATTTGTGGAAGCTAGAAATCTTCTGAGTCCTCTTGGGCTCTGGTTTTCTCATACTTGATACCAATGTGTTAAAAAAAATCCTTTCGTCTCTACTTTTAGTGTCCATTGAGATTCCTGCTACTGATTGCTTATTTTTACTGCTGTCACTTTAGTTCAAGGCATTTGTCACTGCTCTATTGTATTACTACAGTTTCCCTGGCCTGCCTTTGCCTAGCTATTAATAGAATAATAGCTGTTCCTCAGTCAGCATCCAAAATGGTTCTAAGCCAGATCATGTCTCACCTGCTTAAAACCTATAATGGCTCTCCATCTCATTTGGAATAAAAGTCTCCATCCTTCCTTTCTGCGGTTTGCAAGTTTTTACCTAATCTGGACTTCACACTGAGTCTCTGGTTCATTTCCTGTTGTAAGTTCAGAATCCTTTATCCATATGTCTCAGGGCCAGAAAGGTAATAAAGTAAGTAAGTGATATTCCTGGTGGGGCCTGGACGACCTCTGGTATTTGCTAGAAAGATGGTAACATTTCTGCAGGGAGCTGTTCGATGGTATGCATATTCGTATGCATATTCGCAGTAAGCAAAGGTAGAGACCAAGTAGCCACACACAGTTCGTTCAGTTCAGGGCATGTTGTTGCCACATGACTTTTGGTGCCAATTTTAGGAAACTCTGCTGTGTTGGGCGCTTTGGGGATTTTAGAGTTGCTGCTAAGGGATTGTGGATCTGTACTTTTACTTCCCACTGGTGGCCTTTTTGTTGTTCCTCAGATATTCCAAACACGTTCTCAGCCGAACACATTTTGTCCTTGACCTTGGCTCTTCCTGGAATGCTGTTCCACCAGTTCCTCACTTCCTCAGTTTTATTCCTCAGGCTCACTTCCTCAGTTTCATTTAGGTTTCCAGGCCCATGTCCTCTCACTTTGCAGGCCCAGCTCCTCTCCTCATCTTCCCTGCACAGTTTCCTTCTGTAGCACTATTCATCAGCTGGTATGAAGTACTTTTTTCTTGCTTTTTTTTTTTTTTTTTCCTGTTTATTGTATTGTTTCTATGAGAATGTAGTCTCTGAGATTCTTTTGGTCTCTTACTCTCCGCTGTACCCCCAGGTCCAGAACAGTGTCATGTAGTATAGGTGCTCAGTAAATGTTTGTTGTATGACTGAGTGAATTGATTCTTCTATTTTGGGATTCTCAGGTAGATTAATTTATTTTCAGTATGTTCTTTTCGTTCCTGTGACCTCTGTTACTTCACTTATTATTTGCTACTTAAAATTTTATTCTGCAGATTCTTGAGATGGTGTCTTCAGGTTTACTAAGTTTGACTTTTGCTGCGTTTGTTACATAATTGGGCTAGAATTCTTATAGCGCAAAAGGGTATGGGTTTTAGAAACGCCTTTTTTCCAGTTCTACTGTTTCTTAGAGTTCCTCTTTCAAGTTATTAATTTAAGGGGCACGTGGGTGGCTCTGTCGGTTAAGTGACCAATTTTAGCTCAGGTCATGATCTCCTCACGGCTCATGGGTTAGGGCCCCGTGTCGGGCTCTGTGCTGACAGCTCAGAGCCTGGAGACTGCTTCGGATTCTGTGTCTCCCTCTCTCTCTGCCCCTCCCCTGTGCACGTGCGCATGCTTGCTCTCTCGCGCTCTCTCTGAAAAAGAAACATTAAAAATTTTTAAAAAAATAAACAAACATAAAAATAAAGTTATGATTTTAAGAGTTATTACACTAGAAGAGTTAGTATACTTTGTTCTTTTATTCATTATATACACCTTGTGGTGAAAGAGTTTGTTCAGGCAGTAGAATGTGTCAGATTAGAGATCATTTTTTTTGCCTGATAGTTTTAAAGTTTTATATATAGTATTGATAGAAAAAGGTACCTACTTAGAATAGCTTCTCCTGAGTGAGTTTAAGTGCCTTTATTAAAATGTTTCTGTTTCTTGTAACAATTTCCTAATTGTATAGTTTATAGGCAAGCAATAAACAGCAAGATGTTTGAGGTGGACATGAAAATTGCCGCAATGCATGTAAAAAGAAAGCAACTCCATCAGCTGCTACCTAATCATGTTCTTCAGAAAAAGAAAAAGGTAAATTTAGAACCTACTTAACAAAAGCATTACTGACATAATGTTTTCAGCCTATCACTGTATTCAGCCTATCATACTTCCACACTTAGACTCCCTAAGTCATATACGTGAAGGAGACCTGAAAGTCATATACATGAAGGAGACCTGAAGGAGAGCAGCATGTTAATAAATCTGTTACAGGGTGCAGCCCCGTGTCATGTGAAACCTTGTGTCCAGTAGAGTTTCTTCTTGCGGGTGCTTGATTCAGACCTCACACAGATCCCTGGAGATGCTTCTTCCCTTATCTCGTAGAAACGTATATTCTCTTTTCAAGTTCTCCTATCCATTTACTATCCCACCTACATCAGCACCTGATTTCTTTTCCTTTAAAAAGTGTGGATCAAGTAAATTATATGACTTTTTATAAAGATGGCTTTATTTTGTTAAGAATTATATATGTATTGTTATTTAAAAATTAAGTTATTGAATATGAAGATCACAAACAGAGGTGACCAGAATTAATGTTTTGTAGTTTGTTGTGGGCACGGTGCTTCCTGTTGAAGAACTTACAGCCATGTTTTTCTTATTTGGACGTATTATAGAGGATATGTTCGAATTTTAGTGCAGAGATGACCATTACATTTTTACTTTATCTGATTTCAGAAATAGATGGTTTATTTCTGTAATAGAATACTTACACACCGCCGTGAAAATAAACGGACTACAGCTATGTAATACTATGTTTAATTAAAAAGGTGCAGATGAATATGTACTATTTAACAATTTTATGTAAAGTTTACAAGTTTAAAAATGTAAAATGACATTATTTAAGAGAGAATAGGAAAGAAAAGTCTGTTAGAGGACGATGGCCACAGCTGCTCGGGGTGAAGTTTGGTCACCTGGGGCTGGGACAGAGGACGAAGCTAACACACAAAGGTTTTGTTCCTTAGAACATAGCATTTGTTATGGTTCAAGCCGAGGACGAGACTTTGTGGATCGGCTGTGGCTCAATTTCAGGTCTCACCGCCTCCCAGCTGTGAGCTTGGGTCAGTTCTACAATGAATGTCATGTTCTTGATTCGCTTCGTCTCTGAAATCGAGGTAGTATTTTTAGCTACCTCGTTAGGTATTTGGTGAGGAACTTACAGGTGTTCTGTGCTTGGTGCATGGTGAGATAGTGAGTGCTCATACTTGTTTCTGTTATCATAACTTCAGGGGTAGAGGTACTTGCTTTTTTATTTTGGTCTAAAATCAGTTGTATGGGCGCCTGGGTGGCTCAGTCGGTGAAGCATCCGACTTCGGCTCAGGTCATGATCTCACAGTTCGTGGGTTTGAGCCCCATGTCTCCTTCTCTCTGACCCTCCCCTGCTCATGCTGTCTCTCTCTCTCTCAGAAATAAAATAAAAATGAATGAATGAATGAATGAAATGCAGTGTGAAAGGCATTTTCATTTTTGAAATAACATGCTACAGTAAAGCCTTTCTATGGCTTGTTACTCTCTTCTCAACCTAATGCTTTTTTATGAGTTAACTAATCTAGAAAGTGATAAAATGTACTATTCTTTCAAGCCATTGTATTTGTTTGTCATAAAATATACATAAGTTTACCATTGAGTAATTTTTATTTTTATTTTTTTAATTTTTTTTTAAATGACATCCTTAGTAATTGTTTAAGGAATGCAGTGATTCTTTTTTTTTTTTTTTAATATTTTTATTTATTTCTAGGAGAGAGAGAGACAGCGTGAGCAGGGGAGAGTCAGAGAGAGAGGGAGTCACAGACTGAAACAGGCTCCAGGCTCTGAGCTGGCAGTCAGCACAGAGCCCGACGCGGGGCTCGAACCCACGAACCGCGAGATCATGACCTAAGCGAAAGTCAGACGCTTAACCGACTAAGCCACCCAGGCGTCCCGAGTAATTTTATTTTTAAACTAAAGTGTCAAGTCAGACATTTGTCTTCTGATTTTTCCTTGGTGTTATTAATGAGTTTAAACAACTGCACTTAAATGTGTATTTACTACATGTAAAAATTTATAAACATTTTATGCATTTTCAGAAGTGAACATAAATAGATTATTGTTCTTTAACACTTCTATTAAAACAGCTCTTTATAACTGGGGTAGTTAAATTTTCCAGAACCTGTGATTCAGATTACCTTTTAAATTAAAATTCCTACTTGGGGGCACCTGGGTGGCTCCGTTGGTTGAGTGTCTGACTCTTGATCTCAGCTCAGCTCTTGCTCTCAGGGGCATATGTTCAAGCCCATGTTGGGCTCCATGCTGGGCATGAAGCCTACTTTAAAAAAAAAAAAAAAACCCTCCTATATTGATATTTGGAGCTGCTAAAGTACAGTTTAAATAAATTTTACTTCTATTTCTTAAGGTATTATCTACTTAAACATAATCATCTAGACTATGAAAACGTTATGAATTATAAGAAATTTATTTAGTCCAGACATTGTATTTATCAAATAAAGCTTAACTGTAATCTTATCACCCTGTAACAGCTACTTTTTAACATTTCCATTTGTTTCTATATAGATTCTTCAGGGCACATATGTAACTTACACAAATAATACGTATTTTTAAAAGGTTTTTGGGGACACTTGTCATTTTGTGACCTGCTCTTTAGGTGTTTATTATGTATCCAGATTACATTACATACAAGTACTATGTGGCTACTTAGTATTTCTGTGTGTGGCTATGGTATGGCTATACCTGTCCTTGATTTGACATCATTTGGATTATTTCTAGCCACTAGTAAAATAGCACTTTTTTGTTTTTAGAATTATCTAGAAATCTAGATCCATGAAGCTTTTCTTTTAGACTCTTACGAATAGCATCCTTTTATAAACTGCTATTTGTAAAGTACTGTACGAGTGTTTTTCTGTATTTAATGATACAAAAACCTACAAGTATTGCCTGCTATAGAAGAAATAGAGTGGCTAATAAACTTGCCCAACGTCGTAGAGTAGGCGATGTGAACTGGACCTAGGTTTCTCTCTAGTATGTTCTTCTTCTTCTTTTTCTTTATGTTTGTTTATTTTTGAGAGAGAGAGCATGAATGGAGGAGGGGCAGAGAGAGGGAGACAGAGGATCTGAAGCAGGCTCCAGGCTCTGCACTCTCAGCACAGTCTGATGTAGGGCTCGAACTCATGAACCAGGAGATCATAAGCTGAAGTCAGACGCTTAACCAACTGAGCCACCCAGGGGCCCCTTAGTAGTATGTTCTGTCTTTATCTTTTATTGGAAAGTTTTGATAGAACATTTACTAAAGTCTCTTGTGCCAAATTTGGTACAGATAAAGAGGCAAAGCAAAGCAGCTGTTTTGTGTTCAGAGCAACCAGGTAAAACCTCCACTTTCACAGATCATCCTCTGCAGTGGCCTGTTGTCTCACAGGTATTTTGATCGCCTGGTCAGGCAGGTAACTATGTAGAATTGAGTATAATTTACTTATTGCACAGATCTTCGGTGGAGAGAGAAATTGGTAGCATTTTTCTGTAGGAAAGATGCTCATTAGAAGATTTGTTTAACAACACAACTGACTTCATAAACAAGTGGCATTACTTTCTCTTCCTCTCCCTTCTGCCACATCTCTTACCCATTTAGTAAATATTGACTTAGGTACAAAAGTAATTTCTCTGTAGCGCTAGATCAAAGATTAGACTATCTTGTCATTTGGGGAACTAAAGAGCACATGCACGCATGCACACGCACATAAATGGGATATGGGTTTAATAGATTCTCTTTCTGTCCCTATGTTCTCTCAAAATACATGAGCATACATTTAAAGAAAAAAAAAAAAAAAGGAAGGAAAAGGAAAACAATTTTATAAAATGTTCCTGTAGGTAAATGAGCACCAAGGCTAAAAAGTATTCCGGAAAAAAAAGAAGCTGAAGAAATCCATTTGATACTGCAGTACTATTGACTATAGAAAGAGAATCTAAGTTCTTTACAAATCAACTTTCATCCCATAGAACCATTCAGAATTTAAGCTTTATTTGGGTTTTCCTATATGAAATAACATTTTTGAGTGCTTTCATTTTTTTTTTTTTTTTTTAAAAAGCAAGGCTAGCATTAGGATTTACATGTACATATTATATGGTTTCACTTTCACAAAATTACTTCTGCTTTTATTTTCACAGGAAAATTTATAGTAGTGGATGTATCATGTTAAAATTCTAAGTTGGCAGGCAGGGCACCAGAAATTCTTCCTTTTGAGGGAAGCTCATTTATTTACAGATGTTTAGAAGTGGCACTACAGTGTACTTACCTGGTAATTTTTTTTTGAAATTTCACAATTTTATATTCATTTAAGAATAATTAAAAATTGATTTAAAACACTGGTCATAAACCCAATAGCCAGAGATACTCGTTGCTAATAATTGTGTTTCTCATCAAGACTGTTTCCCTAATAACGGAGGTCTGTGTGTCTGTATATATTTATAGTCCTGTGATTTAAGGTCCGTATATTTTCACATGCTAGTGCTTTTTAGTACGCAGTGTGTCTTCGGTTTAATGTAGCGCCCTTTTCTCCTGTTTGACTGTCTTGTGGTCTGAGGCCTCTTGAAAGTCAGCAAGTGTGCGTCTTCCGAATCTTTGCCATGTGAGTCAGGGTGACACTTCTGCTTTTTCAAGACCTCATTGATTTGTGCTTTTTAGTAGAAATCATTTATCAGCGTAAAAGATACTCCTGTTTCAGAGATATGGGTAAAATAAAGATGTATTTGACTAAATATTTTGTTAATTGCAGCATTCAACAGAAGGCGTCAGATTGACAGCTCTCAACGACAGCAGCCTCGACTTGTCTCTGGACAGTGATAACAGCATGTCTGTGCCTTCACCCACGAGTGCTATGAAGACCAGTCCATTGAACAGTTCTGGCAGCTCCCAGGGGTAAGGCAGCCCGGCCGGTGGTGGCGTGGCTGTTACTAGACATGTTGATGAATTCTCTTGGTAGAATCATCTGTGCACAGTAGTTTTTCCCATTTTCTAATTTTTTAAAAATAGCAATTAAACTTATTTTGGGGAGGAAGTATTTCTTTATTTTTGTCCTGTTGTGTCATACTTGTATTCCATTTTTGGAACAGGTATGTCTTAATTCAGATAGGAATGAATGAAATAAGCCCTTAAATTTCATATACAGATGGTTCCTGACTCATGGTTTGACTTAAGATTTTTTGACTTTATAATGGTGCAAAAGCAGTACGTAGTCAGGAAAAACCATACTTTGAATTTTGACCTTTTCTGGGACCAGCAGCGTACTGTACGATAGCCCCTCGGATGCCTCGCGGCGGCAGGGAGCCCCAGTCACAGGGCCAACGATCGATCGGTGCACAGCCAGCCATTCTGTACCCATGCAGCCGTTCTGATTTCACTCGAGTATAATAGTAAATTACAAGAGGTATTCAGCACTTTGTTGTAAAATAGGCTTTGTGTTAGATGATTTTGTCCAATTACAGGCTAATGTCAGTGTCCCAAGCATATTTAAGGTAGGCCAAGCTATGCTTTGTCCTAAGTGGTTATGTGTATTAAATATATTTTCGATTTAAGGTAGTTACAACTTATGATGGGTTTAAGGGTCTGTATTAAGACATCTGCTGCCTCCAGTGAACTGTGTGGTGTGCTAAGGAGAATGGACGCGAGAGACAAAGTCACCTTTCTGTCCTGGAGCTGCTTCTGTATGTGTAGCAGGGGGACATATCTATGAAAATATTACGGGTCTTCTGAAGAAGGTGAAGGTCTCTGTGGTCTGGTTTTAGTTATAGGAAACTATTTGGTTTTTTTTAAGTGGGAGAGGGGAAGAGGAAGAGAGCATGAGGGGGGAGGGCAGAGAGACAGAGAGAAAGAATCTCAGGTAGGCTCTGTGCTCACAGCACAGGGCTGGATCCCACAAACTGTGAGATCATGACCTGAGCCGAAATCAAGATTCTGATGCTCAACTGACTGAGCCATCCACACACCCCTAAATATTTTTCTTATGAAAGAAATACATGGCTATGGTGGCAAAAATTAGAACACAAAAAGCCATATTTATTTTTACTTCTATGAATTCTTTTTTTTTTTTAATGTTTATTTATTTTTGAGACATAGAGACAGAGCATGAGTAGGGGATGGGCAGAGAGAGACACACACACCCCCAGAACCTGAAGCAGGCTCCAGGCTTCGAGTGGGCAGCACAGAGCCCAATGTGGGGCTCGAACTCACAAACTGTGAGATTGTGACCTGAGCCAAAGTTGGAAGCTCAACTGACTGAGCCACCCGGGTGCCCCCACTTATATAAATTTTTACAGTGTATCCTTGCAAACTCTTCTTTTGTTTCAGTGGAAATATTACGGTATCTTCAAAGGAAGCTGTTTACAGTAGACTTCCAGGATGCTGCTAATATTTTTAATTGTGCTATTTGTGCCGATCATTTTGTTAATTAATGAGTTGATACTTAAAACTTGAGCACTTTTGCGAATGTGTGTTATATTTAATATTTTAAGAAGAAGTTTTAAAAATTGGATAGCTAGTGAAAATATAACCAGTGGCAGAGGCACAGGTTGGGCTGATTCTTTGGACAAGTGTGCAGTAGAGGAGACGTGGGCACGGTCAGGCAGGGCCACTGTCCTTCTCTGGGGCTTGGGCTTGTCGTGCGGCCTAAAGACTTCAGGCATGAGCGCGGCTTCTAAATCTTGTAGTCTTCAAAGCAACTCCCCGTTTATAGAGTCTTCTCTTCCAGTTGTTTTTTGAAAGTTTGAGTGTTCCTCCCCTCCCACCCCCTCGCCCTCCTCACACTCCCCATCCCCCGCAGAGAAGCAGACATTTTAATAAGAGGTTTGGGATTGGTATAGAATCTTTCGTACTTGGAGTTTGTGCACATGTATGTAAAATAGGCATACATACTAAGTAACTCCAGAAGTTTTAATAATAGTTTCTTACATAATAGTAATCTTCTGTAAATCACTTCTGGATTTTAAGTTTATACTTGTTTATTTGCTTAGCAGATTTCTAGTATTTATTATCCACTAGCCATTTAGCTAATTGTTTCTGGTTTTCTCCTGCATCTGTGGTGCTTCTCTGGCCAGCTGCCCCTTTCTGTTGAAACCACTTGGTGTGTGTGCCCTCTGCCCTCTCCACAGTCCTGTGACCCGGGCTTGTATTCTCCCTGAGGGGTGGCAGGGGGTCACCTGCGCTTGCTGACTCCTGTACTTCCCTGTGCCTGTGGAGCCCGGGCTTTACTAAGCTGGCCGCGCTGGCTGCATCCAAATGTCCTGGAGGCTGGGACACGACGCCCTTTTGTGTGGCCGCCTTGTCCCAGCGCCATTGTTCACAGTTGGCAGAATGCAGAGCCATAGCAGAGAGTGAGAGACCGTCACCACAGAAGACTTTGTGCTTTGGCTTTTCTTTCTTGGGAGTAATTAAAATGAGGCTATTTAACTAGGATAGGATTTATTTGAGACAGAAAGTTGAGGAGATGAGAGAGTAAAGGATGGAGGATTTGAGTTTCCTGAAATGACTGGAGGGAGTGGGATCCAGAGCATAGAAGAGGAGGGATGGCTTTGAAAGCCTTTGTTTATCTGGGCCACTGGGTGGTCTTTTAGGGTGTGGGGAACCCTTAGATTTTGTAGGCAGAAACTTATATCTATGGCTTTTGACAGGATATTTCTTATACCCCACATCAGTTAGTTCCCCAAATCAGATACCAACAGGTTTTGTTGTTGTTGTTGTGTGTTTTTTTTGTTTTTTGGGTTTTTTTTGGTGGGGTTTTATTTTGTTTTTTGAAACTACCCTGTCTAGGGGCGTGTGGGTGGTGGCTTAGTGGGTTTAAGCCTCTGACTTCAGTTCAGGTCATGATTCCCCGGTTTGTGAGTTTGAGCCCGGCATCGGGCTCTGTGCTGAAAGCTTGGAGCCTGGAGCCTGCTTTGGATGCTGTGTCTCCTCCTCTCTGCCCCTCCCCTGCTCGTGCACAAGTGCGTGCGCTCTCTCTCTCTCAAAAATAAACATTAAAAAAAGAACTGTCCTATCTAATATGCTAGTCACTAGCCGCAAGTGGCGATTTAAATGTATTAATATTATGTAAAATTAGTCATTTTCCCAACAGCTGTACTGCAGGGGCAGAGTAGCTGCAGCCGCACGGTGACGACGGCAGGGGCCGCACAGCTCTGTGGCGGCGCTGCCCTGGGGTGTTTGCACTTTCGGTTGTGGGCTATATTTTATCAAAGTCAGTTACTGATGTATATGTAGAAGTAAAACTAAAGAATCATTTCTTCTAGAATATAACTTCACATATTAAATTTTGTTATGGAATTTTATATTTCACTGTTTCTTTTTCTTTTTTTTAGCAGAAACAGTCCTGCTCCAGCTGTAACAGCAGCATCTGTGACCAACATACAGGCTACTGAAGTTTCTGTGCCACAAGTAAATTCCAGTGACAGCTCAGGGGGTAAGGTGACTGGGTCGACAGGCTGCAGAATTCTCACACTGTATTTGGTTTTATCTTTCGGTTTGAAAAGATGGCTTTATTTGTTGATTAATTTATTCGGGTTCAGTTGTTTAATGCTGCTGTATAATAATCAGTGAGATAAAATCCAGAGACCTAAAGCTTTGCTTGTAACTTGCTGTTAATATGATTTATTGTAATTTTTGTGTGTTCATGTACTTGACCTTCTTAGGTACATCGAGTGAAAGCATTCCTCAAACTGCCACACAACCAGCCATTTCACCACCACCAAAGCCTACGGTCTCCAGAGTGGTTTCTTCAACACGTCTGGTAAACCCACCACCTAGACCTTCAGGAAACACAGCAACAAAAATACCTAATCCTATAGTAGGAGTCAAGAGGACATCCTCACCTCATAAAGAAGAGAGTCCCAAGAAAACCAAAACAGAAGAGGTATCTATATATTAGTTAGCCATGGGAATACCAGCCTGCGTATTTTAAAATCCAGTGGAAGAAAATCTTTGTGAGCCAAAATTGAGAAGCAGCAAGGAAGAAAAGCTTTTAGAAAATTTTTACGTAGCACTTTAGGGCCGTAGTCTCTCTTCACCCTTCCTGCTCTTTCTTCTCAGTGACTACCTCGTCCATAAGGCTGTGCCTCTTCTTTATGCTTAGCTTGTCTCTGATGCAGGTTAGCGTGGACTTGTGTGTCATCCTGATTTATTATTCTCTCACAGCTATATCTTGTATGTGTACTGATTCTTTGGTAGCCCCTTTGGACACAGTTCTGTGATTGACATGGGGTCTGGAGTTTCTCACACTGTACTTGGTATTACAGGGTTACTAAATATGAGAGGTTTTCAGGGAATTCTTATTGAATGACTAACCAAAAATTGCAAGGTCTAATTAATTTTGAGACCTTGAGTGATTACTTCCTCCAACCCTTCAGGAAATTTTCTAGCAGTACTCTCATTTTTTTTTTTTTTTTTTTATATAAGTGGCTAGTTTACCTTGTCAAAGTTTCAGTTTAGGAAAACCATTAAAAGTGTATGTTGATTTTGGTGTGTGTCTTAAAATGTAAAATAGAAGTAAGCAGCCTTGTGACACAATTTCTTTGTGACTTTTGGCTGATAAGTTGTTACTCAGGAATTTACTCATCTCACCAAAGTTTCTTTAGAAGGGGGGAGAATCTGGATTTTCTCATGGGAATGTTTTACTCTGTAAGAGTGAAAAGTGATTCTCTCATTTGTAAGTGTTCTATTCCCCAGCTTATTCTGAAACCTTTTGGGGTTTTTTGGGTTTTTTTTAATAATCATTATTAAGTAAATATGAATAATCTGATGAATCTTGTCCTCATGATGATGCTGAATGATAATATATTATATCCTGTCTTACAACCTGCATTCTGAAAGCCCACCTGTGTAGTTATTTATTAAGGCAGTGATTTTCAGCATTGGTTGTACATCAGAATTTTTGGGGGTTTTTTCACCCCTCCTAATAGAGATTTTATGGCCTCCTCCAGATACCTGGAATCAGAGACTCCAGGGGCTAGGCCCTGGGATCTTTCCAGAAAGCCCGAGTGTCCCAGGACTGTCGTGCGGCCACCAGATAACGTGCCAGTTCTGGTGTCGCTCCACGTTCTGCCTGTCGATGCTTGTTTGCAGTCGGCAGAGGATTTCAGAATTCATATTTCTTCTTATCTTAGTAAAGTACATGTGCCCACAACTCCAGATGCCTGCTCAGTCCGCGTCCTTACTCGTAGTGCTTTATTCTTTAATGGCTCCCTGAGAGCTCTGACTCCCTGTGTCCTGGCTCAGGGTTTGTAGTTCGGTTTGCACTTAAATTGGTAGGAAACACTCATGCTTCCTGTCTAGTTAGACAGAGCATAGAATTATCGAACTTATTATGGAAAATTTTAAATCCATACACAAGTGAAGTAAAGAGAATCATTTCATGTACCCATTATGTAGCTTCAGGTGTAAGGGACTCTGCCAGTCCTTACCGTTACCTTAAGTCTTTCATCCTTTTCATTTCCCTTTGTATTTGGGTTATTTAGATTCAAAATCCAGACATCATGTTATTTCTTTAGTATTTTTAAAATCATACGTTTAAAAGAGAAGGATTACAAAAAATAGCATAAACGAAATAAACTTAACCCACTTAGAAAAATATCTAGTCAGTGCTCACATGTCCCTTATTGCATCATAAATGATTTTTTTCTTTAATACTCTTTTTTTGTTTCAGTCTGTAACTAAATAAGATCTCTGTATAACTATTGTTGATGTCCCTTAAGTATTCTTTAAAATACAGATTTCCTTCCCTTTTTCTCCTTGTTTTTTGGGGGGTTGGGGGGGTTGGGTTGGTTTCTTTGTTTTCTTTTGTTTTGTTTTGTTTTAAGTTTTCTCACAGTCTAGGTTTTGCTTGTGAAAGCTCCGTGGAGTTGACTAACAAGAACAACTTTACAGTGTAGAAAAAAGAGATCTTAGGTTGTCTCCCAGACTGCTCTCCTTGTTTTCTGGGAGAGGAGCTTGAGTGTCAGTGGCCTCTCCATCTATATAAAGCTAATTAAAGTCAGAGTTGGGATTAGAACCCAGGCCCAAATCTCATGGTGCTAAAGTAGTAGATTGTTATAATATACTAATTTTGAAGCTCTCCTAAACTGGGTCTTTTATTTTCTGTTAATGAGCACTTGATACTAGAAATTTTAGCAAACCAGAAAGAAGCACCCGTCTTAATTAATAAGACACTAACGTGCACTGAGGTAGGGGGTCTCAGGAGTCGTCAGGGAGTTTACGGCTGCTTAATTTGCATCATATGCAGAGGCTTTACAAATACATAAAAATGGGTAAGAATGGAATGTAAAATAAAAATAGAAAACTGTTTGCCCCAGATTATATGGTTCAGTGATGCTATATATGTATTTTATACATTTTCTTATGGAAAATTTCAAACGTACAAAATTATAATGAACAGTCTGTTTATAGCACTTAGCTTCAGCATTTAAGCACCTCATGGCCAGCCTGCTTCATCTGCACATCTCTCTCCTCTCCCATTGCCAGGGAGCAAATCCCAGGCATAGCGTTTCAGCCATAAGTATTTCTGTGTGTGTCTAAAGATAAGGACTTCTAAACACACAACTACAGTATATTATTACCATCTATGTGCGTGTATTTGTGTACACACACACACACACACACACACACACACAGTATATTTGCCAATATTAGCAATAATTCTGAAGTGTTAGGTATCCAGTCAGTGTTGAAGTTTGCCCATTTGTAACAAATTACTGTTTTTTAAGTTTGTAATGTTTGCAGGATACAAATAAGGTCCTTATTGGAATTGGTTTATATTGTTAAATCTCTCCTATTCATAGAAACTCCATGGTTTCTTTGCCTAGTTTTAAAGCCACATTTAAAATTAAAAGTTTGGCTAGTAAATACAGAAGAGAAGTTAGTGTTAAAAAAATAGTTTTTTTTAAGAAAGTGATGCAAGTCAGTGCAGGAACGGGAAGGTACAGCCAAAAAAGACTGATTTTGAATAGAATTATAATAAATTTAAAAATTAAGACCAGAAAAGAGCATTTCTCAAACCTCCTGTTCTTTAGGATTTTAATAAGTTTTACTGAGCAGAGGTATTGTATGGTTAATTAAGTTGGGGAAAGTTAAAGAGGTATTCCTTCTAGAACTTTCTCAGAACCTTTTATGTGCTAATATGTGCCTAAATCTCCTAGAAAGGATGGAGGGGAGGTGGTGTGATAGTGTTCCAAGTTTCTAAATTATTTGATCAAAGAATTCTTTCTCTTCTTACAAAAAAATATTTTATTAACTTTGTGGTTTTGGGGAATGTACTTTAGGTGGTATTGATCAACAGTAAGTTTTCTTCATACTCTTAAGTTTGGAAGATACTGAAGCTAAATTAAATATGTTACATTAAAATTTTTTTTCAAGTGAACTAGTAATCTATTTTAAGGCCATAATTGATCTTACAGGTTAATTATTTTCTAATTAAAATTTTTTATCAATTAAAGCATTGATTGGCAAGTAATCTAAATTTTTCATTTTAGAGAATAAAGCTTTTTTTTTCAAAAACAGGATGAAACAAGCGAAGATGCTAACTGTCTTGCTTTGAGTGGACATGATAAAACAGAAACAAAGGTATATTAATTTAGCCTTGGAATACATTCACGATTAAGAGTACAGAAGATGTGCTAAAAATGTCTCTAGAATATTGTACTGTCTTTTGTTCTGTAGGTTTTAGGTTGTTCGCAGTATTGTTTTTAGAGAAGTGTTTGTCCCTTTTGAATGTTAATTTATAGTGCTGAAATTAATTTCTCAAATGCTTGAGGTCCTTACTAAAGGCAGAGCGATCTGGGTGGACCCTGAGTAGAATAGAGTGGTGAGTGAGGCATGTTCTGTACCTTTAAAAGAACTTAAAATTAAGCAGAGAAGATAAGAGGTAGATGCAACTAATGATATTATCAGAGAAGATCAAAGTAATTGAGGCCGCAGGGGTGGTGAGGGCAGGGACGGTGGGGTGGGATTTCTGACTGAGAGATAGTGAGAAGCTTCATAGAAGGACCGCGTAGTATTTGAGGCAGTCCTGGAGGATATGTAGGATTTGGGGCATGATGAGAAGTGAGAGGGTCATTTCCCCCTTGGGCTGTGTGTGTTTAGAGAATGTTTCTGGCAAGGTTCTGGCAAGAACCTTCCGAGCCTTCTCCGGGTGCAAGGGTCTTGAGATGAGCTAGATGAGATGACAGACAGTGAGTTAGCTAAACCGTATTAGACTTCGAACACCATTTTCTTAGGAATTGAAATGTCCTGAAGGCTTTTAACTTTTTCCTCTTACTGTAGAAAATTTGGAAATCCTTTCCCCAATTTATTCCCATAGTTGACATTTTAGTTTGTATTCTTTTGGTGTCTTTATTATTGGGCATATGTGCCCAGCGCCTTTTAGTTTCAGATCTTCACTCTGTAAACCAGGAAATTGTTCCTGTGATTACATAATTTACAAAATATTCATAGCTGTTTAGAATGCTGTCTCAAGGCCGGTACCATATTTTATTCAACCAGTTCCCTATTTTTAGCAATTGTTTCTGTTAATAAAAAAAAAAAGGAAGACTGTTAAAAAAAAGAGAAAGTTACTCTTTTCTCTTGTAATAGTGACTGTAGCTAAATACCTGGCACCCACTTGGGTTTACTAGAATAAATTACTGAAAGGAATTCCTGAGTCAAATCACACACTTGTAAAACGTGGCACATTCTGCCAGTGTGACCCTTCAGAAAGCCCACCCCTCTTCCATTTCCAGTACCTACGCCCTGTTTACCCTTTTCTGTTTCATAAGAGGAAATTGCCATTTCATTGGGGTGTTTTGTGTATGTTGTTTTGTAGAAATTCAAATTTGTATGTGTTTATTTTCATCTGTGTGTGTGTCTGTATGTATTATTTTGCTTTGTGCACACCTTTAAAAGTTCAGAGCAGTGGAATGACATGGTTCGCCCTGTATTTTCTGTTAATACTTAAGAGTAGATCAGTGCATTGATTACTGAGGAGGGAAGGAGAAACAAAACTAAAAACCAAAGACAAATGTCTTAGGGACTTTTTTTTACTTTCAATTAAAGATGTAGTAGTTTTTGTCCTTTAGGTAATTTTATTTAATAATAATAACTGGGGTTTTTTTTCCCCCCCACATAGCTAAGAGCTTGGGTTTATATTGTGTTAACTATTGTCTGGGCAGTGTTTCATATATTTTTTTAATGTTTTATTTATTTCTGAGAGAGAGAGACACACGCAGCGTGAGCAGGGGAGGGTCAGAGAGAGAGGGAGACACAGAATCTGAAACTGGCCCCAGCCTCTGAGCTGTCAGCACAGAGCCCGACGCGGGGCTCGAACCCACGAACCGTGAGGTCATGACCTGAGCCGAAGTCGGACGCTTAACCGACTGAGCCACCCAGGCGCCCCATGGGCAACGTTTCATAATGTGCCCGTGCGCATCTTTCATGATGATCTGCGTCAGATGTCCAAGTTGGAGGTAGCTGGAAAGTCTGAGAGATTTTGACCACGCCTGTAGAATGTAAGTAGGCCAGTAGGAGTTTCTGTGTGTCTGCAACGGTGAGAGAGCCTAGGGCGAGGCTTGCTAGATGGCTTTGTGACGGAGCCTGTCTTTCTCTTGACCCTCTTGTCTTCCGGTTTGTCTTCTTTATTAGCCACCAAGCCCAGTTATGTTCTTTTATTCTTTTTTAAGTCTCTTTCCTCCCCCGTCCTCTTTGTCTCACAGGAACAACTTGATACAGAGACAAGTACAACTCAATCAGAAACTATTCAGACAGCGGCTTCTCTGTTGGCCTCTCAGGTACTAAGTGCAAAAAGCAAGGAGAGCTTTATAAATGTTGCTAAGATTAGTGTGGGATGATAACTTGAAATGAGCATCTGCAGAAGACCCTTAAAAAAAAATGATCTCCGTGACCGTGATTACGTGCGTGATTACCGCAGCGGGAAGCTAGCGCCCCGGGTCTGCGCGACAGCCTTGCAGCGTCGGGCGCTGCCCCTGCCTGTGCGCAGGAGCGGCCGCTGCAGACTGTCCGAGTCCTCGCTCGGCACAGCGCGCAGGCTTCTGACAGCTTTGCTTTCCAGATCAAAGAGTGAATTTTAAATTACCATAGAACTAAAAACCATTCCTTGTGGATCTTTTTGTGAAGTTAATAGAGGGTTTTTTTTTTTTTTTTTTAAAATGTGTTTCTGTCTCACATTGTACTTCTGATTTTTAATTATTAATTTAATGTAACCCATAATTCTTTAAAATTGTTTTTTTCATTTGTCCTAGAGATTCTATCTGTGGTAGTCCCTTCTTGCATCCGGCAGGCACCTGGAATCTTTTTTTTTAAATATTGATTTGTGAACCTTCAGTTTTGTTTGTGAAACAGTTGTTTTCTTTTTAATCCTTTCAAATTGAGTCCACTTCAAAGTCTGGGTCACACTCTGACATAAAGTAAATATTTTCTGTTAAGTGCACGTTGAGCTGGTGGCCGCCTGCAAGACCGCAGAGGTCACCGCTGCTCACGGCATGGCTGGTGAGCGGAGGCGGTGAGGTTCAGAGTTATTTTAACGTGATTGTGTTAAAATGTGTTTTTGCTTACCATTAACCCTCATAGCCTCTAAAGAGAGAACCATCACGTTCACTTTCTGGAACGTCTTTTATGTCCGTAACTTTTATCTAATAAAAATTTGGGGTGGAGGAAGTAACTAAAACAGCACTAGGAAATGTGCTTGGTATTGATACATGGACAGAACCACTTATCAGTCTGAAACTCCTGTGACACAATTGCACGTCCTCTGGCCTGCCCACTGCTCCGGAGAACGTTCATCCCTATAGTGATTAGTACTCATGGGTATTTTTGCCTTTCTGGTACATTTATGAGGACACAGAACTTACTTTCTAATGTCAAGATTCCTAGAACTGTTGAGAGAAAACACCCAGCTATAAAAAGAGTGATTATGTTGATTACAAGAAATACATCCCTTTATTTCATGATAGAAGGGCCGTGTTTCTTTCTGGGGAGAGGATTAGAATATTGTAGCTGTGTGTAACAAAGAGTCCTTATTGTTTTGAGATAAACTTGAAATACAAACCAAGTGACAGGATCCCTGAGATCTGCTTCCGAGTAAAAGCTGGGGGTGAAGGTGGGAGAGTGGTGGTTGGCTCTGGCTGGGCCTGTAATGGCCACGTGGGACTCCACGTGGGACTCCTCGGGTAACGCGCTCTGCCGGGGTGGATGCCTGGAACTTCCCGTAGCAAAACATTTAAAATTTTACCTCTTTGGTTTTGAATGTTAATGAAGGCCTGCGATTTAATCCTTTCTTAACATGAAACGTTGCTAAAATTTAGGATGATTAAATTACTGCTCAGGTCTATCGAGTTTTATAATTTATAGGGTCAGAGAATAATAAATTGACTGGTAACTGCTGCTATAGAAGGTGAAGTTTAAGTGTTCTCCCACGTGGGGGTGCTCCAGTGCCAGTTAATGCTGCAGCTCTTCTTGCTGTTTCAAGTACACGTAGTTTAGCGTGAATTTAATAACCATATGACAGGTCATTCTTAGAGCAGCGTGTTTATAAATCTGTGTTTTCAATTGCATAGGCGTTTTCTATGTATTGCTAAAATATTCCTACTTTATTATTTGAAAATTTCTACAAGTGTGGAACGAATAATTTCATAGTAATAGTCATGTTTATTTGCACTTCATTTTTGTTTTTCTTTAAATTTCTAATACGTCTATGATAAGGTCCCATCCATTTCTTAGAAAGTAAAGCAGTGGAAAGTAAATTTCATTTTTAAGTTACAGTGCTTTGAACAATGTTGTGTTCTTTGCTTTCGTTCTCAGAAAACATCCAGTACAGACCTTTCTGATATCCCTGCTCTCCCTGCAAATCCTATTCCTGTTATCAAGAATTCAATAAAACTGAGATTGAATCGGTAAAAACAACCTCAGGGGTCCATAAACAATATCTGCCAAGTCAACCTGTTGTCTTCAAATGCTAAAAAAGGAGAATGGAGGGTACAAGACTAGACGTGACTGGAAATGGATTTAGGTTTTGTGGCCTCCCTTACTGGGCTAATCAGCACTTGATCGGAAGTCCAGGTTAGTATGTGAAGCCAGGAGTACTATTATTGTGTTAGCAACAGTTGCATTAACTATTTCAAAAAATTACTGCCTTTAAAAAAAAAAAAAAAAACACCTCAAGCTATATTTGTATCCATAATTGACATCTGGATTGGGTTTATGTTTGATGCATTGTTTGGAAAATTTGCAATACAAACTGGCATAAGAATTCCTTGTTCGATGATGCACTTTTATGTATTTTTTTTTATTAGAAAGTAGAACTAATTTTAGATTTTCAGCTTGATGGATTTTCATTTTTTCCTGAAAAACTTCCTTTACCATTAGTCTTCAAATTGGATACCGTCGTGCAGCGATGTGCTGTTATACGTGAGGGAAGGGATAAGAGTACATCTCGTTCAGTCAGTTGCGGGAGCTAGAACCCCTCAAAATGAAATGTCACGTCTAGGGTATATATTTGACATTGAAACAATAATTAGGAAATAGTTGGTTTTGATGCGGTCATGATTAAGAAATGATATATTGGTTTTATTTATAGAATTGTTCAGAGTGCATACAAATCAGCGATCAGCCAGCATATATTTTTCTTTGAGCTTAGTAAAACTCCACATTTCTTTTGCCTTCAATCTGTTGTCTTTGAAACAAAGCTTTTTTTGCTCCCTCCCCCTCTTCTTTTCCCCTTTTTGCTTGTATGCATAAGGTAGAACTTGAGTTCATAAGAAACAAAATGCCAGTATTTTCTTAAGCCATGATGTAAAACCAATGACCCTGTGGCCACATGGCACAGAACACTAAAGTTTGGTCCCGTGGCTGAGACTTGAGGGTGACTAAAAGTGATGCGTGTGGAACATGATGACCTGACTTGGATGGCCATTTGATCTCTCAGTATGCGGGATTTTGTACACTCCACGGAACTCCTCTCTACGGTAAAGTTGATTTTCAATTTTAGACATGTGGGCAAAAAGGCATTTTCTCCAAGAATTTTAAACTAATTTTTATTTTTAAATGGTTGACCAAAATTTGTCAGTAAATTTTACATGTAGAAACATTTTAAAAATCATTTCTAGCAAGCACTTGGCATCTAGTAAGCCCTCTACTCCTTTTTTGTTTTGTTTTATCCGATCAGTAGATTAGGAACTCCTTTCTTTAAAGAAAATAAATCCTCATAATTAAACAGCAGAGTATCCATCTTCACGAAGTCTGAGGGATGCCAGATGTTGATAAACTTAGTTATTCTTTCTTAATCTGGACAGAGCAAACCTAACAGATTTTTCTGATGAGCATGTTTTACGACTCTTCCATTGTGCTCCATTCTATCACATGTGCATTTTTCATGTTAAACTGCAGTTACTTAAACTCTTCCCCTGTCCTTCTAAATTAATTTTCCAAAGTTGGAGTGTAGTCTTTCCCCTTAGGCTATGCATTAATGGAGGCTTTCTTTTCACCGTACCTTATAATGTCTAGTAGACCGTGTTTCCGCTGCTTCCCACATCTTCGCTCCGCACAGTCACCTTGCCCTTTCTCCCGCCACCTAAGAAAAAAAAAAAAAAAAGATGGTCATGCTAACAGGTGAAGTGTACAAGGTGTCTGTGTGTTTTGTGTAGCTTCAGAGTTAGATTGAAATTGCCAGGCACAGATTTAGTCTTGTCATTTTGTTTACACATTGGGGAAAAACAATTCAGTTTATTAAACGTTTCATGTAACTGTACCCAAGTTTTGCCAAGCTGGAAACTTGGACCTTTTCTGTGTAGTGACTTTTTAATTCTAGTTTTCATAACCTGAACATAAGACTGTTGCTTCCGCATGATGTATTTAGTGTCCATGACTGGAGTTTGCTTTGTTTTATAGTATCTGTACTCCTTGTATTTTTCAAGAGCTATTTTGTAAACAGATGATGTATTTCTCCATTGAAAACACAATAAAAAAAAAAAAACAGCACAATCCCACAGTTGGCTGGTTTCTTTGGACTGACTTTATTTCTTTTGTTTTATACGTTGGTTACGCTTACAACTCTATGGCCGTAAGTGAAGATTGGCAAAAGAATGTACTTTGGTCACACTTAAAAAAGATTGGCTTCTGGTTCATGTATGCTTATCAGTGGCAGCCTAGTAATCATCGAAACCTTACACAATCGGTATTTTTCATATGAATGATCATTATAAGGAGGAAAATGTGAATATAGTTGCTATTCACTTTCAGCTGTCCCATTGGATGCAGTGTTTGTGTGCGTAGACACTGTACCTTTCCTGTGCACCTGTCTCAGCCGTGTAGATGGTATACTGCTGATGTGTTTCTTTTCCAAAGCTGTTGGTGTTGCGTGCAGTTGGTCCTTTATCTCTAGTGTCAGCAGGTGGCGCTGTTGTTTTTCAGTGACTTGAGGATTCTAGTCCCTAAGATCTCCTGTTTGTCCTTTTACTAAACCCAGATCAGATACTGCTTCTCTCTTTTTAAAAAAATTTTTTTAATGTTTTTTATTTATTTCTGAGAGAGACCGCGTGAGCAGGGGAGGGTCAGAGAGAGAGGGAGATCCAGAGTCTGAAGCAGGCTCCAGGCTCTGAGCTGGACGCGGGGCTCGAACCCACAAACCGTGAGATCATGACCTGAGCCAAAGTCAGACGCTCAACCTACTGAGCCACCCAGGTGCCCCGATACTACTACTCTTAAACCCCCAAATGCTCAACATTGCGTACCAAACTTGTGGGGGCGGAGAGGGCTGCTTCGGACGTTAGCAATGGCCTACTCTTGAGTATGGTTGTCTTAAGTGCCTTTAGGGGAGGGATGGCCCTCCCGATGTAAAAGCCATTATTCCCATGGGCACGCATTTGTGTGTATTTCGCTCCTGAAATTCCAAATTCTAATGCCTTTATTATATACATTTACTCACATATATGTACAAGTGTAACAATTTACAACTGCAGCACGGGGTAACTTTTTATTAAACTTTTGGGACTGTTCAGGAAAAGGGAAAATATAGTAAAAATTATCTTTGCCTCCATTGTTCACACCTACAGAATTGAACTTGCTCGACATCCTCTACCTTGATAGACACTTAAACATGGGACTGAATGTCACACTTGCTGACTTTGATCACCTACATGGTCTTCGGGCTTTTCATGCATCTTGCTGAGTTGGTAAAATAATTGGAAGTTGTGTGTGTTGTGGCTCTGGGTATATTCTGGAATAAAGTTTGTATTTTTCTAATTAACACCTGTTTTCTCCTCCACCCAGAAAGATGTTTTAGAGCTCTGTGTAGTGTTAATTCTGGCTGCGCACGAGGTGGCAGTAAGGGACCAGCAGCTCCTGGTAGCGGTTGGTGTAGGGAAGGGCCCGCCATCACCGTACACAGGCTGGCGGGCCGGGCCCAGGGGTGCTGACTGTCCGTGCACCTAAATGCATTGGCGCAAAAAAGAGAGACTATTTATCAAAAAAGACATTGAATAACCTTTTGGGTATAGTTTTGCCTATTTTAATTCTAAGAAAAGAACAGCACAAGGAAAATTAGTTGCTTTTAGCCTGAATCGTATGTTTTATTTTTAATTCTCCACTTTACTCCTTTACTGTTAGTTTTTCTTCAAACCAGAATCGCAAATGGATGCTGTCTTACCTTGGACCTGAACCTGGTACACGAGGTATGAAGTGTATCTGTAATAAACGTGACTTTCAGTCACACCGTGACAAGTGGCCTGTTTAATTCTGGGTAGTGTCTGTTCTTCATATTTGTATGATCCATTTATTCATTCTTTATATGTACCAGTTTGAACGTTCTTGTGACATTTTATACAGCTTTATTGGCACCAAGAAAGATGGCCTCAGTATTTCTGAGCCATGTGTCTTGCAAGTGGTTGCATATACTTCATCCTAGAAGTGATTTCATGTACTTGGGGGACGTCATCAGCTCCCAGTCGTCTTCCTCAGAGACACACTCCTTTCTCCGGCGTCTGTGACTTCACTGAAGCTGATCGGTGACCAAGCATTTATGTATTTTATTGAAAGGGATGGAGTTTGAATTGTATTCCCTCCCCCCCCTCCCCCAGTTCTCAGGCCTTCCCTTGAAAATGGAGAATTAAGGCTTTGCCCAGGTTCACATTGCAGAGGGCTCACATTCGTGGGGAAGGTGGTGACCCTGGCCCCTGTGCTTTTTCCCCACAGTTCCCTTTTTTAAAGGCTTCACACTCTCAGAAGCTAAGAATCCTATCAATCCTATCGACAGGGCAGGGCGGTGGTTAGGGTTTAGAGTTTAGCCACCTGTTTAAAATGGGTACTTTTAAATGAGCCACTGCCTTCTCTTTCCTTCTGTCCTGGGCATCTACACACTGCACTCGTGGGATGGACAATGGGTCCTCTTTCGCAACGAGAAACTGAAGTCTGTTTTGTGCTTTAATCGAACGAAGCTTTACGGTTTTTGCTGTATTTTCTAAGGTACAGGATAATCTCTTAATCAAAAATAGTTTTCTCCTTGCCACCCCGCTTAGAGTTTTTGTTTACGTGGGTGGTTTTTCAGTCGTGACAATGGGTTTATGCTGCATCTTCCACTCTCCTGCTTTCTTGGGTGCTAGAATTGACCAAGGAAAGCCTCACAGTGTGTGGCTTCTGTTTTACACTGCAGAATAAACAGCCAGGGTCTAGGAGCCCCAGAACTGATTGCCCTTGGGCTTGAACTTGTGGCTGACACTTGGTCTTGGCAGAGTTCTTTTTCCCAGCTGCGCACAGACCTCACAGCCGTAAGATGTACCACAGCAAAAACACACTATTTGGAACAGTCTAAATTCAGTTACATAATATCCTGGCCCTCCGGTACATTTTATAACCATTGTTTTATCTGCAGTTAAATATTTTCCAAACTGCTGCATCAGTGGTTTGAGATACAGATTAAAGAGAAAACCATTAAGTTTAAGGTTGAAGTCTCTGGCTGAGTATAATGTAATTAACAGCTAAAATGACAATCACCTCCTGTAAGTTTCAATATTTGGAAGTATCCAGACCGTATACTCTGTTTCCACCTAACTTGAGTGTTTTTAATTTCACATTAGTCACATGATCATGACCTGATTTTTTTTTTTTTAAATCTGTTTCTCAAAAAATACTTTGTAAGCCCTTTAGAAGCATTTCTTTTAATTAATTTGTAAGATGCTATTTTCTGATTCAACAGATTTCAATCTGAAAATATGTATTTTGAATAATTCAAGAATTTTAGTTTTATGGGTTTCTTACAGCTCATTGCAGACAGTCAGCTCAGTCTTGTGTGTTTTCTAATAATGTCAGAGTCCCTAAAATCGTTAAAAAAATTGTTAACGATTTTTGCTTTAAGAAGACTTATGTAAATGCAAAATAGCAGTTATTTCTGGGGAGCAGAGCGATCTCGTGCCACGGCTGTTCCCCTCTGAATCCCCATATATACACACATATGTGGGTATCTGGGTCCTTTTCAAATTTCAGGCATAAGCAAGTAGGTATATGTATTTTACTGTAATAATGCAAAATGTCCCAACTTTGTGCTTGTTCCTTGTGGATGCTGTCTCTCTCTTGGCACGACACCCTCCTTACAAACTTTCACACTGTGCGGTGCCTGGTGCTATGTGATTTCCAGAAATCTGGCATGAGAATTGGTCCTTGTTTGCGTTTTCTGACTGCAGTGGAGCTGTTAATAAAGAGATTGATGATAAAGTTGTTGAAAAGAGACAGTTGGGCAGAACCGCTCCCCATGAATGACAGAGGGCATGACCCGCCTTCACAGCCAAGAAAGCCGCCCCCAGCAGAGGACCGGCCGTGCCCGGACACTGTGCCAGACTGTTAGAAGGAGCTTTGCTGCGCTATTAGGCTGCTACATCTCTTTAATTTAGACTTGCCTCCCATTCCCACTTTTATCCTAAAGTTCATGGAATGAATGCGCGGGACATAGTATTTGCAAATCAGACACGCGTAACTTCCCAATTATAAAATAGTTATTTTTGCAAATTCTTGAACACTCCTAATTCGTCCTAATTTGGTTTAGTAAAATTAAGTTTTACTTAGAAAATATGACTACAAGTTTTACAGAAAGCCTGTCTTCTAGACAGCAGCCTCCTCAAAATCTTGAGTTTGACAGTCTCAGGAATGAGCTTTAACTGGGTAAGTATTGATTAGTTCGTGGGTTGTTAAATGCCTTAGTCATAGGGGCGCCTGGGTGGCTCAGTCGGTTAAGCGTCCGACTTCAGCTCAGGTCATGATCTCACAGTCTGTGGGTTCGATCCCCACGTCAGGCACTGTGCTGACAGCTCAGAGCCTGGAGCCTACTGTGGATTCTGTGTCTCCCTCTCTCTCTGACCCTCCCCTGCTCACACTGCCTCTATCTCTCTCTCAGAAATAAATAAAACATTAAAAAAAAAAAAATACCTTCGTCATAATGATTACAATTGAGTGTGTGTTCACCCGTCACTGTGAGTGAGCTTAGGTTGCTGGCATTCAGGTGAGCTGTTCGTTTTGTGTGGTCTCCTTGATGGTCCACTAGAATTTTTGACACTCTAATACTGATTTTAAAGGTACAGATTCTACCTAAATTTTTTTAGCTGTCTTAGGTTGTGTG